GGAATGTATACAGTGACTAGGACAGAGGACACAAACTGGTAGGCCCTGTGACAAATGTGGCCCAGATGGTACATTGCTTGACCAACACAGTGAGGTGCTTTTTGTTGTTGTTTTGTTGCTGTGTGTGTGTGTTTGTGTGTGTGTGTGTGCGTGAGAGAGAGAGAGAGAGAGAGAGAGAGAAAGAGAGACAGACAGGCTCTTGCTCTGTCACCCAGGCTGGAGTGCAGTGGCGCAATCATGGCCCACTGCAGCCTTGATCTCCCAGGCTCAAGTGATCCCCCGACTTCAGCCTCCCAAGTAGCTGAGACTATAGGTCAGTCTCAAAGTCCTAAGCTCAAGTGATGTGCCCTTCATTGACCTCGCAAAGTGCTAGGATTACAGGCAAGTGTGTGGCTGATAATTTTTTTTACAATACTTTTTTTTTAGGCATAATTTGCATACAATAAAATATAACCATTTTGGTCTGGGCGCAGTGGCTTACACATGTAATCCCAGCACTTTGAGAGGCCGAGGTGGGTGGATCACCTGAGGTTGGGAGTTTGAGACCAGCCTGGCCAACATGGTGAAACCCCAACTCTACTAAAAATACAAAAATTAGTCAGGCATGGTGCAGGCACCTGTAGTCCCAGCTACTCTGCTCTGGAGGCTGAGGCAGGAGAACTGCTTGAACCCGGGAAGTGAAGGTTGCAGTGAGCAGAGATTGAGCCACTGCACTCCAGCCTGGGCAGCAGAGCAAGACTCTGTCTAAAATATATAGATAGATATATACACGCACACACACACGCACGCACGCACACACATTTTATAAATGTACAATTCTCTGAGTGCTGACAACAGAGGTGCAATCCATGTAACCACCACCACCATGAAGACACAGAACCTTCTTTTTTTTTGAAATGGAGCCTTGCTCTGTCACCCAGATTGGAGTGCAGTGTTGTGATCTTGGCTTACTGCAACTTCCACCTCCCAGGTTTCAAGCAATTCTTGTGCCTCCGCCTCCTGGGTAGCTGGGATTACAGGCAGATGCCACCACACCCAGCTAATTTTTGTATTTTCAGTAGATGGGGTTACACCAGGTTGGCCAGGCTGATCTCGAACTTCAGACCTTGGGTGATCTGCCCACCTTGGCTTCCCCAAAGTGCTAGGATAACAGGCATGAGCCACAGTGCCTGGCTGATACAGAGCCTTCTAATGACTCCCCTCACTCATTGGCAAACACTGATCCAATTTCTAGTTTCAAGATTAGTTTTGCCTGTTTTTAAAAACTTCATCATAGACTGGGCACAGTGGCTCATGCCTTAATCTCAGCACTTTAGGAGGCTGAGGCGGGAGGATTGATTGAGACCAGGAGTTTGAGACTAGCCTGGGCAACATAGCAAAACCCCATCTCTACAGAAATGTTAAAAATTAGCCAGGTGTGGTGGCTCAAGCCTGTAGTCCTAGCTACTCAGGAGGCTAAGGTGGGAGGATCACTTGACCCTGGAAGTCAAGACTGCAGTGAACTGTGATTGTGCCACAGTACTGTAGCCTGGGTGGCAGAGTGAGACTTTGCCTCAAAAAAAAAAAAAAAAAGAAAGAAAAAAGAAAAAAAAATTCATCACAGAGCAATACTCTCTATGTCTGTTTTTTTAAACTTTTCTTTTTTTTTTAGACGGAGTTTCGCTGTTGTTACCCAGACTGGAGTGCAATGGCACGATCTCGGCTCATCGAAACCTCTGCCTCCTGGGTTCAAGCAATTCTCCTGCCTCAGCCTCCCTCCCGAGTAGCTGGGACTACAGGCGCACACCACCATGCCCAACTAATTTTTGTATTTTTAGTAGAGACGGGGTTTCACCATGTTGACCGGGATGGTCTTGATCTCTTGACCTCATGATCCACCCGCCTTGGCCTCCCAAAGTGCTGGGATTACAGGCGTGAGCCACCACGCCCGGCCTTGGTTTTTTAAACTTTTTTTCAGCTCCTTCAAGTAGCAGTCCTGTCTGGTTGCTTTTTTCTTTTTTGTTTTGTTTTGTTTTTTCGAGACAGTGGCTCATTCTGTCCCTTAGACTGCAGTGCAGTGGCTCCATCTCGGCTCATTGCAACCTCTGTCTTCCCAGTTCAAGCAATTCTCCTGCCTCAGCCTCCCAAGTAGCTTCTATTACAGGTGTGAGCCTCCATGCTAGGCTAATGTTTTTTTTTCAGTAGAGATGAGGTTTCACCATGTTGGCCAGGCTGGTCTTGACCTACTGACCTCAAGTGATCTGCTCACCTCAGCCTCTCAAAGTGCTAGCATTACAGGTCTGAGCCACCCAGCCCTGTCTGGTTTTCTGTTTTGAGACAGGGTGTCACTTCATAGGTGCAATAATTGCTCACTGCAGCCTCTAACTCTTGGCTTCAAGTGATCCTCCTGCCTTAGCCTCTTTAGTAGCTGGGACTACAGGCATGTGCCACCACATATTTTCTTATTGTTTGTAGAAATGAGATCTCACCATGTGGCCCAGGCTGGTCTTGAACTCTAGTCTCAAGTGAGTCTCCCACCTCAACCTCCCAAGTGCTGAGTTTACAAGTGTGGCCTGCTGTGTCCAGCTTCCTATTTGTTTTTGAGATTCATGCACATTTCTACATATATCAGATTATCAGATTATTTCCTTTTTTTTCTTTGAAATGAAGTCTTGTTCTGTCTAGCCCAGGCTGGAGTGCAATGGCGAGATCTTGGCTCACTGTAACATCCACCTCTTGGGTTTAAGCGAGTCTCCTGCCTCAGGCTTCCAAGTTACTAGGATTACAGGCATGTGCCTGTAATTACCACACCTGCTTTGGGAGGCCAAGGCGGGTGGATCACTTGAGGCCAGGTGTTTAAGACCAGCCTGGTCAACATAGCGAAATTCCATCTCTACTAAAAACATAAAAAATTAGCTGGGCATGGCAGTACATACTTGTAATCCCAGCTACTTGGGAGGCGGAGCCAGAATTGCTTAAACCCAGGAGGTGGGGGTTGCAGTGACCCGAGATCAAGCCACTGCACTCCAGCCTGGGTGACAGAGGGAGACTGTTTCAAAAAAACAAAACAAAAAACCTTCTTGTAACCTGGTAGTGATAGTTTAGATCAGGGATCAGCAAACATTTCTGTGAAGGGTGGTATCTTATGCCAGGCTGCCTGTACTTTTGTGGGTTTGTTTGTTTTTGTTTTGAGACAGAATCTTGCTCTGTCATCAGGCTGGAGTGTAGTGGCACAATCATGCCTAACTGCAACCTCTGCCTCCCGGGTTCAAAAGATTCTCCTGCCTCAGCCTCCTGAGTAGCTGGGATTACAGGCATGCACCACCATGCTCAGCTAATTTTTGTATTTTTTAGTACAGACAGTGTTTCACCATGTTGGCCAGGCTGGTCTCGATCTATTGACCTTGTGATCCACCCAACTCCACCTCCCAAAGTGCTGGGATTACAAGTATGTACTGCCATGGCATGAGCCACTTCGTCCAGCCTAGTCCTTCTTTCTTGAATGCCACGGGTGGCTGCATCTCCTCTTTCCTGTCACTCACCAAGGCTGGGGAGCAGCAGGTTCTTACAGTCTTTTTGGGACACCTTGTGCAGCTGTTTGCCTGCCAGTTGGAGTTGGTCTGGGCCACTGCCTGAGCTGAGATCTTGGTGCCAGGGCCCCCAACACCACCCCTGCCAGCTTCTTTTTTCTTGTTCTCTGCTGCCTTCAGCATCTCAGAGGGGTTCGATTCATCGTCAAGAGTGACTGCTTCAGCTCTTCCCACAAGATGGCCAGGCCTCAGAGGAGTTTTCTAACGTTTTTCCAAGCAGCAGAGCCAGGCTAAATCGCTGGCTTATCCATTATTTATTTCTTCCTCTTTTTCTTTTTTTTTTTTTGAGATGGAGTCTCTTTCTATTGCCCAGGCTGGAGTGCAATGGCATGATCTCAGCTCAATGCAACTTCTGCCTCCCAGGTTCAAGCGATTCTCCTGCCTCAGCCTCCTGAATAGCTGGGATTACAGGTGCACCTCACCATTCCGGGCTAATTTTTATATTTTTAGTAGAGACGGGGTTTTGCCATGGTGACCAGGCTGGTCTTGAACTCCTGACCTCAAGTGACCTACCTGCCCCCCATTAGCCTCCTGAAGTGCTGGGATTACAAACATGAGCCACTGCTCCTGGCCTCTTCCTTCCTTTCACTGCTGCCTGCTGTGTGCCTGCACTGGCTGGGCTAGGTACTACCACTAGGCAGGACGGTGACATGCACCCCCTAGCAGTGCTCACAGCCAAGTAAAGCCTTCCCTACGGTTGGTTTGATGAGACAGGAGCATAGAAAAGACCTCTCTCCAAGAGAGGAGGCCTGATTTTCTCTCCTGAGCTGGGAACAGAAAAGTGGATTTGTTTTCCAGCTCTGCTTATGACCGTGGGCCAAAATCTCTTCTCTCCCTGGGCCTTGCTCTGTGCAACGGGATGATGGAGAGAAGCTCTACAGCCCTTCTCAGTGCCTTTGTGCTGGGTCATGTGATAGATCTAATATGATGGACATGGAGGGGCTGCTGGGCATGGGCAGCCTTGGCAGGTGGAGGCAGGGAAGTCTACAGGCACTGTTTTGTCTGCCATTGCTGGCAAGACTCCAGCACCTAGAGGATTAAATAGGGCATATAAATAATAGCCTTAGTGTGGTGCCTGACTCATAACTGGTGCTTACCAAATGGAGTTCTCTTCTCACATGCTGACTCCCTGAGGGTGTAACTGGCCCCTGCCCACATCAGCTAGATCTCTCCCTTGCAGCAAGATCTTGGGTCCCTGGAAGATGCCTGCCATCCCCCACAGCCAGGCCCACCTCCAGATGAGATGATGGGTGAGCTCTTTGAGGCAACTGGGGTCTGGGGCAGAGAAACCTCAAAAGAAGAGGAGCAACTGGAATGCTTATCCATTGCCATTGCAGTTTCTTATGACATCACACACCCTTACCTTCTGAGGCAGCTACTCCACTTTGAAGATTTACCCAAGAGAAATAAAAACATGTTCACACACAGATGTGCACAGGACTATTCATAGAAGCTTTATTCATAGTAGCCCCAAACTGGAAACAACCCAAATATCCATCAATAGGAGAATAAATAAACCAGTGTGGCCTGTCCATCCATAAAATGGATACAACTACTCAATGATAAAAAAGAAAGAATGAACAACTGTTACACAGGGCAGCCTGGAGGAATCTGGAAAACACCATATTGGCTGGGCAAGGTGGCTCATGCCTGTAATCCCAGCAGTTTGGGAGGCCAAGGCGGGCAGATCACCTGAGGTTGGGAGTTTGAGACCAACCTGGCGAACATGGAGAAACCCTGTCTCTTAAATTAAAAAATATATAGAAAGTATTAGCTGGGCATGGTGGAGCATCCTATAGTCCCAGCTACAACCCAGGAGGCTGAGGTGGGAGGACCACTTGAGCCTGGGAGTTGGAGGCTGCAGTGAGCCATGATGGCACCACTGCACTATGGAAGGGGGCCAGAGCAAGACTCTGTCTCAAAAAATTATATAAAAATAAAAAACATTATATTGATGAAAGGAGGCTACACACAGAAGAAAACACACGTATGATGACATTCAGGTGAAATTCTAGGACAGCAAAAGTGATCTCTGATGATGGAGGTCAGAACACTGCTTACTTCTGGGCTTGGCTGGGAGGGGCACAAGGGATTCTCCTAGAGTGAGGAAGCTTGCTCAGGGTCATGGCTACGTGGGTGTCATCTATGTAAAAGTCATTGAGCTGTGTTTTACTTTCATGGTTAGTATAGTGCACCAAATGTAAGTTACTCCTCAGTAAGAAAATAAGCCTCCAGGGTATGCTCCCATAGGAGGAGTCTCTTGGGAGGGGGCAGCTGCAAGGACAAGCTGGCAGTGGCCCTGGGCCTGCACATTAGGCTCCCTTTGTTCAACACACCCCCCAAGTCCCTGGCTGCGAATTGGGCCTCCTAGTCAGTGACAATGGGAATATCTAACCCACTGGCTGGGGAATAAGGTCATAAACATGTAAATGGCAGTTTACAGCAGGGTGATTTTGGAGGCTTTTATCACCAGTATGTCAGTGCCTTTTATGGCAACTCATAAATACACCTCCTATTAGTTTCAGCAGATCACAGCCAAGACCAAGTCATGCCCTCAAGTGGGCCAGACCACATGTCACCCCCAAAGGACTTTTCTGAGACCCCAGGACTGCCTGGCAGCAATGGGACAAGAGGGTCAGTTGTAGCCAACCTAACACTTTGCTGTGGGGATCCTGATGCGAGAGGGGATAGAGCTTCCTTAGTAGACCTTTGCAACTGCACCCAATATGAGCCAGCCCTGCGGTGTCTTCTCCCTAAGCTCAGCCCATCTACTTCTCCCTCCCTCCAAGCATCAGCCCTACCTCAGACTGCCCCGCACCCACACTAAACTTCTGAGTACTGGTTCTGCAGGACAGACCCCCCACAAAGGACCCACACACACTCACTGGGCAGATCCACAGCAACAGTCATGGACTTACAGATATCCACAGGTGGCCGTGGTCACAGGCACAGAGACCACCGTTCAGCAGGTACCTACTCAACACGGTGTGCCTCCTGCCCAGCAGTTGCTTCCAGTCCACATCAGCTGTGTGCAGCACTCATCAGATGACCTGCCCATGGGTAGGTTCCTTTAATCCTCACCACAACTCTGAGTGCTAGGCAGTATTCTGCCCACTTTACAGGTGACAGAACAGAGGCTTTCAGAAAAGTCACCTGGCCATGGTCTCTCCATCTAGCCAGGTTATGTCTCTCCAACATAACCTCCAAGAACTGCAGCCAGGCAGAAAGGCCAGTCCCGGTCCTGTCCCCTGCACTCCCTCTAGAGTCGACTTCTCCAGGGGGGGCAAAGGGAAGCGAGAAAATACAACAAAGGATTTAAATACAGAATATACAGATGGTCCCCGACTTGCATGACTCAATTTAGGATTTTTTTTTTTTTGAGACAGAATCTTGCTCTGCCGCTAGGCACCACACTGGAGTGTAGTGGTACGATCTCAGCTCACTGCAACATCCACTTCCCGGGTTCAAGCAATTCTCCTGCCTCAGCCTCCCGAGTAGCTGGGATTACAGGTGTGCCACCACGCCCAGCTAATTGTTGTATTTTTTAGTAGAGATGAGGTTTCACCATGTAGGCCAGGATGGTCTCAATCTCTTGACCTCATGATTCTACCGCCTCAGCCTCCTGAAGTGCTGGGATTAGAGGTGTGAGCCACCTCATCTGGTCAATTTAGGATTTTTTACTTTACAATGGTGCAAAAGTCATATACATTCAGTAGAAATAATACTTCAAGTATCCATACAACCATTCTGGTTTTCACTTTGAGTACAATATTGGATAATTACATGAGATATTCAACACCTTATTATAAAACAGGCTTTGTGTTAGGTGACTTTGTTTTTTTTTTGTTTTGTTTGTTTTTGTATTTGAGATGGAGTTTTGCTCTGCTGCCCAGGCTGGAGTGCAGTGGTGTGAGCTCAGCTCATTGCTGCCTCCTCCTCCCAGGTTCGTGCGATTCTCCTGTCTCAGCCTCCTGAGTAGCTGTGACTACAGGTGTGTGCCACCAAGCCTGGCTAATTTTTGTATTTTTAGTAGAGATGTCACCACGTTGGCCAGGCTGGTCTCGAACTCTTAACCTCAAATGATCTGCGTGCCTCAGCCGCCCAAAGTGCTGAGATTACAAGTGTGAGCCACCGTGCCCAGCTGTGTTAGGTGACTTTGACCAACTGTAAGGTAACGTCAGTGTTGTGGGTGTGTTTAAGTAGGTCAGGCATATTAAATACATTTTCATTTTACAGTGTTTATAACTGGTAAAGGGTTTACTGGGTTGGAACTCCATAGCAGGTTGAAGAGCATCTGTATTAAGATCTACAAATCAATAAGGAAAAGATGAAAGACACAGTGGAAAAATGGGGAAAGGATATAAACAGAAGGCCTTCTTCACAGAAGAAGGAAGTAGAATTCAGAAAGGTGAGGGGGAAAGAAAAAAGAGGAAACAAAAACAATCACTCAGTAAGAAAAGATAAGCACAAGTAATGAGAGAAATTCCCATTAAAGAGAGAGGTTTTAGCAAAGTGTTAGTACAAGTGCCCTATGCTGGTAGTGGGCACAGGCTTTTTGGAGGGTGACTTAGCCCCTGCCCCTCAGATCAGCAAATCTACTTCCCAGCACCTCCACAGAGAGCCTGGCAGAGACCCGCACTATGGCTGCCACTGCAGTGGGCTGTAACAGCCTGTATGTCCAGCAATAGGGGACGAGGTAAACCCTGTGGGTTTCTTATATACACACAGGTTAGTGGCAATTACAAGGACTGAAGAGGAAAGAGGAAATGTTTGGCTTTGGGAGGCTGTGTGTCCATGGAGAGAGAGTCTCCTTCTCACTGTCCCCTGCAGCAGAGCAGGCTCTCTGGGAAGCACCCTAACTGTAGATTCGGGAAGATGGGGCTGGCTAGATGTTTCCTGCCCCGCTTGGAGGTGGGCTTTCCCCATCTCCCACCTGCTGCCATCCAAACCCAAACCTAACTGCAGTGGTTGGGGATAAAGGAGAAAGTAAGTCTGGGTGTGGTAGTTCTTGTCCATAAATCTAACACTTTGGGAAGCAGAAGTGAGAGGATAGCTTGAGCCCGGGAGTTCAAAACCAGTGTGGGCAACATAGTGAGACTTTGTCTCTTGAAAAAAAATCAAAACGGGCTGGATACAGTGTCTGACGCCTATAATCCCAGCACTTGGGAGGCCAAGGTGGGAGGACTGGCTGAGCCCAGAACTGTGCTGGGATTACAAGTGTGAGCCACTGGGCCCAGCTCTGTATTATGTTTTTAAAGTAAAAATATATTTATAGATTTCTTTTTTGAGATGGATCTCGCTCTGCAGTCCAGGCTGGAGTGCAGTGTCATGATCTCTGCTCATTGCAACCTCTGCCTCCTGAATCCCAGTTCAAACAGTTCTCCTACCTCAGCCTCCCAAGTAGCTGGGATTACAGGCATGAGCCACCATGCCCAGTTAATTTTTGTATTTTTTAGTAGAGATGGGGTTTCACCACGTTGGCCAGTCTGGTCTTGAACTCCTGACCTTGTGATCTGCCCACCTCGGCCTCCCAAAGTGCTAGGATTACAGGCATGAGCCACCTTCACCTTGCTCGGCCTATATATTTCTTATATAATAAACAACTAAATAATTAAAGGTTTTTTTTTTTCCTGGGTGTAGTGGCTCATGCCTATAATCCCAGCACTTTGGGAGGCCGAGGTGGGTAGATCACATAAGGCTGTGATAAGGCTGTGTGGGAGCCTGCATGCAGGCTCGGCATCATACTGCCTGGGCAAGAATCCTGGTCCAACCTTGCGGTGGGACTTCAGCCAAATGACAGCCTCTCTGACCCTCACTTTCCTCATCTGCAAAAGTAGTACCCAATACATGCACTGATGTCACAGGGCTGCTGTGCATGCCTAGCTATGGTTCCCTCTCAGGAAATATCCATCCCCACCTACCTCACAGATGCGGTCAGGTGAGTTCTTCTCTGCCTCTGTTTCCTCATTGCACCTGGAAGAAGCTGGAGGACCTGCTCTCCTAATTGTTCCTCTACCACTAATGTTCCAAGAAGGGGACACTGGGTTGGGTGCAGTGGCTCACACCTGTAATCCCAGCACTTCGAGAGGCTGAGGTGGGTGGATCATGAAGTCAGGAGTTCAAGACCAGCCTGGCCAAGATGATGAAACCCCATCTCTACTAAAAATACAAAAATTAGCCAGATGTGGTGGGGGCGCCTGTAATCCCAGCTACTTGGGAGGCTGAGGCAGAGAACTGCTTGAACTTGGGAACTGGAAGTTGTGGTGAGCCCAGATTGCGCCAGTGCACTCCAGCACTCCAACCTGGGTGGCAGAGAGAGACTCCGTCTCAAAAAAATAAAAAAAAAAAAAAAGAAGGGGACACTGATTTATTATCTGCCAATTTAAGAGCCAGGTGCTGTCCCTGTGTCCCTGTTGGCTCAGGGCTGGGCTCCCAGGAAGTAAAAGCCTAAGGCTCAGGGAGGTGATTTAAGGTCTAAGGTCCAGTGGACTTTTGCACGCATCGCAGCCTCCGCTGAGCCCTGCTAGCAGCGTTGAGGTCACTGCACTCTCGGGTGCCGCTCTGTTGTCTCCTGTCCATCCTGCTCATCTGCTCACCAACCCTTTGTAAGAAACACACAGGAGGGTTCTGCCCTCTAGCGGCTGCCGGCGGCCAGGCCTCTCCTTGCAGGGCTCCGGAATCTCAGAGGAGCCCATGGTCCACTCTGCCTCCTCTAGTGTCTGCTGCACAGCAACAAGCACGCATTTCCCAGGGGCTGAAGCTGAGGCTGGCCCCATGAGCTGGCGCCCAGCAATCTTCATCTCTGAGCATCTTTGAATCCTGGGGGCCCTGCTTCCAGATATGAGCCCCCAGCCCATGGGTCTGGGTGGTCCTAGGCTGTGTCACAGGGTTTCAGTCCACTGCGAAGGAGGCCTGACAGTGCCCAGGTTGAGGGCAGCTGTGGGCGATGACTGACATAACACTGCAGAGAGAGAGCCAGGTAGGGCACGGGCCTCTGCCCAGGCTAGAGTCAGGGGCCTTCCCTCATGTGCCCACACCCCATACTTCCCCTATTATAGCCTCTGCCATCATACTGCCACCAGTGTCTGTGGATGGGGAGAGCATGACAGGAGTTGAGAACCTTGGTTGGGGCTTGACACAAAAGGGGCTTTGCTTCTGGACACTCCCACCTGCGCCCATAGTGGAGGGGCAGGGGACATGGGAGGAGGGAAACTAAGGGGAAGCCCCGCCTCTCCAGAGGGCCTCTGCACCCTTTGTCTCCCAAGGGAAGCACAAGCATGTGGCCAGTCAGATAAATCAGGCCTTTCCTCGCCTTTGTGGAGCCACAGGCTGAGGTTGGGACCAAGGGTGAGGGGTTCAGGAGGCCTCTGTGCACCTCTCTCTGAGGCCCTGAGCCCATCATCCCTTCGTTCTTAGAGTGGAAACTGTGAAGAGCGGCAGCTCTGTGCCAGGCGAGGATTTGGCAGTGAAAAGGGTGAGCCTGCCCTGTCTTGGGGGCAACTGGCACCTGGGGTGAGAGGTGGCTGGTGACAGCCTGAGCCCTCTGGAAAGCAGAGGCCCAATTGTGCACAGAGCCAGTATAACAGATGCTCGGGGAGCCCCCAACAACCCCACCCAGCCCTGAGAGAGCCCCCAAAGCTCTAGGGTAGAGCCTGTCCCAGGAAGCCCAAGGCCAGGCCCACCCCACACTTCCTGCTTCCAATTAGCACTAATTGAACAACTGGGAAAACCCACAGAGCATGAAGCGAAAGCAGTTAAGTCTTCAGGGCCCCAGCGAGGCAGGCCCTGTAGGAGCCCAGGTGAGCCAGACTCTGGGGGATGGGCCCTGGGGTTTCTGTCTCTCTGAAAGGGGATCAGGTGATAGGGCCACATCTGGCAGGGTCCCTAGTGGCCCCTCTGGAAGATGGGAGTTGTCCCAGGGCCAGGGCAGAAGCTGGGTGTGGGGGAGCCTGATAAACACCCCCTCTCAGCCTGCATTTAAGGCTCCCCAAAACCTGGCTCTACAAGCATCCCCCTCCCAACCTGGTCTCTTTCATTTCTTCTGTTCCTAGTCCTCACTGCCCAAGTCACCCATTCATTAATCCTTTCACTCCCTCATTTATTCATGTATTAGGTGTCCAGGAGCCCTCCTATGTTCAGATCCTGGGACCACAGATATGGATACGCCAGGCTTGGCTGGTCAGGAGGGCCTTGGGGCCAGGACGTTTTTCAGAGGCCCCAGAACACTGGATGGTCAGAATCGAAACAGGGCTAAGGCAAGTCCGGGGCAGGGGAGGGTCCCGATGCTCAACTCCTTCCTACTGGAGCAGCCCTCTCTCCTACCATCTACCTAGCCAGGCCTGGGCCCAGATTGGCAGATACTGCATTGCAGAGCAACCCGTTACTGGCTCCACTTCATTCTTGGTGGGGAGGAAGAGGCCAGGCTGAGCACTGCGTGCTTATGAATAGAAGTATCAGCTTTGCTTGGCACTCTCTGGGTGGGCCTGTGGGTCTGTTGATCCTCAGACTCCACTCAGGGTATGTGCCAGGCTGTGTCCACATCCATGGCCAAGTTCAAGACAGAAGTTCTGCCAGGAACAGCTAGGACTGGGGGGCGGAAAGAGAAGCAGGCACCAAATCTGAGCTGCTCTAGGGTGGGCCTAGCCTTTGGGGAGAAGGGGGAACTGGCCCTTAGCAAGAGGCTGGCTCTGGAATTTGCATGCTTGAACAGTCTGGGCCCTAGCCCCAGAGTGAGGGCCCCAAGTCCACCCTTTATATAACACCACATGGCTCAGGCCCTCAGCCCTGAGCAGCAGTAGTGGGAGCAATGACCTTTGCCCCACACGTGTGTGTCCGGCCTGACCCCTTGCCCCTGTTCTCCAGAACATCCCTACCATAGAGACAGAGGCTGGGCTCCACTCCCTATCCTTCCTCAGCTTAGAGACCAACCTGGTCCTGGGCAATTTGGTGTTGCCATGACAACCACATACTTTCTTCTTCCCTACTTAGCAGATTGAATGTGAGTTGCAGATGAAATCCTGGTGAGTTGTCTGTTTTGAAAACATGCGGCCATTTGGAGAGCTCTATGCATCTTTCATCTCCCAGGGGCCTCTAACACTCACCCACCCCTTGTATCTTGATGGCTGAAGGAGAGGATATGCACCCTTAACCCTCTCCCTACACACCTAGGGTAGTCCTGGCCCAATGGCACAGCCCCCTTGAGCTATGACCTCTGGTGTGCAAGAACACATGGATAACATCCTCATGGGTATCCTCTGTGGTGAGCGGGCCCTGTGGGCTGGACTGCAATCACCAGGAGCCTCAGACAGTGCATACACCTCTCTGTTGTGAGGCATATGGTGTTTGGGCAAAAGCTCTTGACTCAGGAGGCTCTCTCTGTCCCCTTCAGGAATGTGTACTGCCCTTAAGGACTTGGGCCACCAAGACTGGGAGTTGTTGGCCAGGGACCCCCAGCGTCATCTTAACCGTCATGCATTCCCCAGGGCTGACCTTAGCCTCCTAGGACCAGTGATGAAGAGTCACGTGCAGTGCAGAGCTCGCTGGGAGCAGGCTCAGAGCTCAGCCCCTAGATGGAGGAGATGAGACCTAGGGAAGTAGTCAAAGTGGCCCCATCTGTGATGAGCAGGGTGCTGGTGGCCCTGGGAGGTGATCTCAGCCTGTGAGTTGGGTAGGGCTGGCTTAGCAAGTTAAGGGGAAGTACATATGGAGTGGTCAGAGAATAGTGGGGCTGGGTCTTTCTCTGATCTGCCTGGGTGGAGGATGGAAATCAGCATGGGACATCTTACCAGGAATGGTCACTCAGGATGGACAGGGAGACCTGCCTCTGCCTTCTACACTCAGTGCCAGAGGTCCCTGCCCCACCTTGCAGACGTTAAACCCACCACATGGTCCCATTTGTGTGGCTGCCGACTCACTGGGCTGCAGCATCCTGGGCAGGGGGTTGGCCCTTGAGCATAACTGGACCTCCTTATCTAGGCCTGCATTTCCACCCAGATCTTACTACCTCTCTGAGCCTCAGTGTCTTCACTCTGGGGAAGGCAGAGAGGGGCCAACAGATAGGTTGGTAAGAGTAGAACAAATTGTGAGGGGTTCCCGGAGCAATGTCTCCAAGGAAAGCACACCTGCTGGGTGTATCTGGTCAGATTTTTACGATTTTATAGAGAAAAACATAAAGTAGAAATTTAAAAGTAAATAAAAAAGAGAGAGAATTATAGCTTGAGGAAAAACAAATAATTGTTGCAGAAAGGAAACAGAAAACTACTTGGTTTAGCAGAAAACAATGTTTACATGGTGTTAAACACATGAACACTGAATATCAACTTACCCCAAATCATAGCATTGGAAGGATAGGGAGGAAATGTATGAAGAGGTGGCTATCAGCTCATTTTTCATAGTGGGAAGTCAACATTCTAAAGGTGAAAGTGGCTGGGTGCGATGGCTCATGCCTGGAATCCCAACAATTTGGGCCAAGGCATGAGAATCGCTTGAGGCCAGTTCAAGACCAGCCTGGGCAACATAGTGCGACCCTGTCTCTACAAACTATTTTAACATTAGGCGGGCATGGTAGCAAAGACCTGTAGTACCAGCTACTCAGGAGGCTGAAGTGGGAGGATTGCTTGACCCCAGGCTGCAGTGAGCTGTGATTGTGCCAGTGCACTCCAGCTCAGTCTGGACAACAGAGGGAGACCTCATCTCAAAAAAAAAAAAAAAAAAAAAAAAAGAAGAGTGAAAGAGCTAAAAGAACAGAAAGCAATGGGTCAAGAAGGGGGGACTTAGTATTTCCAGTCTTGCAGTATTGTTCAACTTTTAAAACTATGTACCATACATGGATCAAAAGAGAGATTAAATATAAAAGCAGATAGGATTAACATAAAATCTCTCAAACACTGAGGCTTGAGAGGTTTAGTAAATTGCCCAAGGTCATAGAGTAAAGGACACAGCAGAGCTGGAACCCACACCAGGGTCTGTCTGTGCCAGAGCACACAGCAGGCATGAGCGTGGAGTGACCTTGTCAAAACCTTGGACTCTACTCTTGGACCAGGCAGCTCAAAGACCTTCCCCAAGCACCCATGCGGGCTACAAAGATGAGCCTCCAGCGTAAGAGTCTGCACCCCATGCCTGTGGCAAGGGAGACGAGGCCCCCTGAGCAAAGACCTTCCAAAGCCACTAGCCCACAGAGGCCCTGTCACCCAAGGAAGGCGCCAGAGCAGTCGGAAGAGCCCCTGCCTCAGCTGTGCTGCTTCTATTTACTCAGTGGCTTTTGTTCCCTAGCTCCCCATCCAGCTGGGTTGGTTAATCAGATTCTCTGAGGGGAGGGCTGGGGCATCAGTGACTTTACTGACACCCAGAGGAATTGCTTCTTGGGAAGCAATTACTTGTGACAGGCACACATTCCCAGTGGCTGAGCTTGGGGCACCCATCTGTCTGTGGCTGAGGATGCGGTGGAGCCTGGGGGGGCCAGGTCCTCGTTGCTGGCTTGTGCTCAGCAGGGACACCAAGGTCTACTGTTCCTCCAGGGCTTTCTTGGCCTCTGCAGGGGGAAAGACTGTCAGCTGAATGACCAAGTGACAGGTTGCCACAATGTCACAATTAATACAGACCCTCGACTGGGTAGCTGGCATTGTGCAAACCCCTTTTCAGATCTGAACAGTCTGGCCCACTCACCAACAGGTCTGAGTCTCGGGCTCCAGGCCAGGTGGTCATCAACCCACTGGGACCTAGTCAGGCTCCCTTCCTCTCTTAAGGGTGAGGCTAGGGCTGAGAGGCAGTGAAGTTCACTCTCAGGGTTTATCAGCAGGCAAAATGGAGGAGACCAGGCTCTTGGAGGTCTCTGTGTCAGGACATTCACTGTAACAGTTTACAGCATAGAAAGTGCTGGGAACAACCTGCGATGGCATTTCATAAAGGACGTTGTGCAGGACAGTGTGAGCAGGGCAGAGGTGTGTACCATGTGTAGTCAGGACTGGCCTCGGGCAGGACATGGGCCCTGTGTTTCTTTGACTATCTGCAGGGCACTCATTGTCCTTGGGATAATTTGTAATTTAATAGCAAGAAGTACATAAAATACATAGTATCAGGAGATAAAATCACTTAACAGGAAAATTAATACATGGTATAGATATTTTAAACTTGGCCAGGCACAGTGGCTCACGCCTGTAATCTCAGCACTTTAGGTGGTCGAGGTGGGAGCGTCAAGAGTGTGAGACTAGCCTGGGCAATATAGTGAGACCCCATCTCTACTAATAATTAAGAAAAAAATTAGGCAGGTATGGTGGCTCCTGCCTGCTGTCCCAGCTATTCCAGAGGCTGAGGCTATAGGATCACTTGAGCCCTGGAGACTGAGGCTGCTATGAGCTATGATTGCATCACTGCACACCAGCCCAGGCAGCAGATCAAGATCCTGTCTCAAAAAAAAAAAAAAGAATATTTTAACCTCCACTGTGACCTCTGTGCTGGTCTAGCTCCCCTGCAGGACCCAGGCTCCAGCCTTGCCATGCACAGGCCTACTGGCTCCCCAACTCTCCATTCCACCTCAAAGAACTGCTGAACCCCGACTTTTCCTTGGTCCCTACAATGGCCCTGGAGCAACAGTGGGCTGGGATTAGAACCTTCTGCAGATGGAGAAAAGGCAAAGCCACCTGCTAGGATCTCACAGGAGACAAAGGCAGGGCTGGGATTAGAATGCAATTCCGGGCTCTCCAGCTCAGTTGTCTGATCAATAGTAGGTCCTCTGGCCCGGTAGGCAGTGGGGATGTGGTAAAACATCATCTCCAAGCTGCAAAGGCAACCAGGGCCCCTGCAGAGTTAAGGGGAATGTCCCACAGAGGCTGATACAAGTGAGGGAGGCCTACAGCAGTGGGGTGTCAAATCAGAACCAGCTATGCTCAGGTCATGGCTCTCTGACAAGGAGAAGCAGGAAGAGGAAGGCCCGATGGACCCCCACTACTCAGATATGACCCACACACCAAATGTCCATGGCCTTACATCTTCCCTAGGATCAGCGCTGGGCCAAGACATGTGTGGTGTCTCCCTGATGTCCACAAGTCTGTAGGCAGAACTCACTTCCCTTCCTGGAAAAACTCCATCTTATTAGTAGTTCAGGACAGCACCCTAGGCCGGTTGAGGTAACTCATACCTGTAATCCCAGCACTGTGGGAGGCTGAGGCAAGTGGATCACCTGAGGTCAGGAGTTTGAGGCCAGCGTGGCCAACAGGGCAAAAACCCATCTCTAGTAAAAATACAGAAATTAGCTAGGTGTGGGGGTGGACACCTATAATCCCAGTTACTTGAGAGGCTGAGGCAGGAGAATCACAGAGGTTGCAGTGAGCTGAGATTACACTACTGCACACCAGCCTGGGCGACAGAGCAAGACTCTGTCAAAAAAAAAAAAAAAAAGCATCCTTTGGGCATCCTAAGTTCAAAGCTGCTTCTGCCAGGAGAAACCAGTCAATTTTAACCCGGCATCCTTCATCCCAGTGCGGTGAAAGAAACAAACAAAAGCAGTGTTTGCAACAAAACAAAACTCAGCAAGTTTCTGGAACAGCCTGTGATGAGCGGGTTCAAGGTGAGACACTGGCAATTGGTGGGTAAGGCCATGTGGGGGTGCAGGGGTGTCCTCATGGGCCACCGTGGCCCAGGCCTGGGAAAGCCTAAGGGCCAGGAGAGCTCATGCCTGTGGCTGCCCCAACATGGGGCAGGACCCACTCATCCCTTTCCACTTTCTTCAGAAACTGCCCACAGCAGCTGGTCCTCCCTGGACAAAGTCACCTTCTCTCCTGACGCCAGGACCCCTTTTGCTTTCTGCCTTAATCTAAGGCTGCAGGGAAATCCAAACAACTAGCTGTCTGAAATTGCTGGAAGTCATTTAACCAGCTTCTGGAGCATCCCTGCTTGTCCCGGGGAGGTGTGCAGAATGTGCGTCTGAACAAGCATTTGCTGGCAGCTAAGGTGTTGCTTCCCCAGGCCTGGTTGCTTGGGGTTTCCTGTGGGTCAAGATGGCCAGGGAGAGACCTATGTTAATTCTAGCTAAATAAGCCTGCTTGGCCCAGAGTACACTGAAGTTTATACACTGAATTAAACTATACTATTGGTGCAGTTAATTAGAAATCAAGCGGCAACAGGAGGCCTAAGGTAAAGACCATCCAAGGGTGCAGTAACACTGGGAACACCTCGGGTGGTTGTGGAGCAGGGAATACTGGTCTGGTCCCATGAATGCCGTCTCAACATGGAGACTGCATGAGGGCCTCGTAAAGAGGGCTTATGCAAAGATCTCTGAGATGGGAGGCGACCTCTGCTCACAAGATCTGGGAGGGTCTTTGCAGATGGGAGCTGGCCAGGAGGAGAAAAGCCTGGCAGAGCAGAGATCACAGAACGCCTCAGGCTCTGCCTAGGTTCTCGGAATATGGAGTGGTTGTAATTGCTCTATGTCCTCAATGCTGGGGAGATAAAAGCCCCTGGATGCATTGGGTGTGGTCAGACACCATGCCAATCCGCTATACTTCTCTCAGAGTACTAGTTCAGCATGTCTTAGAAGGATCTCAAGTGCTCTCCACCCTGCTACCCCTTCACCCTCCCCTTCCACTCCCATAAGCTCAATGAGATTATGCACATAATAAAAGTGTTTGGAGCCCAGAGCTAGGGGCCAACGTGGTTCCCAGGCTTGGTCCCCTGGACCCATGCTGTAAATTCTACTCTTGTGTCTCTATTTCCTTTTCTCAATCCCTCGTCACTGCTGAGACTCAGGGCACTCATGTGCGGGGTTGGGGCTGGTACCCAACAGTTTCCTAGGCTAATCCACATCCAGGCACCTGGCTCTGCACAGTCTCCCTTCCCAGCACCCTCACCCTCCAAATCTCTTGCAGGGCCAACTGGGCCTAAAAGGAGTTTTCATTTCTTCTTCACCTGCAGCTTCTTCTTTCTGGAAAAGGAAAAGGAATGTTTCCACTAGAGTTTAAAAAGATGCTCTACCACCATATGCACTTCTGTGGACTGGGGTTAGATGGGAGGAGGAAGCAGCAGTAGGGAAACAAACGTTCCCAGGAACCACAGTCCTTCTGTAGCCTTGTATCGGCAGATTTTAAATTCCACTCACTGAAGTCCACTAGGCTAGAGCTAGACACCCCTGCCTGGGGCTTTACTTACATCCTCTCACTTACTCCTTGCTACACCCTATGAGGCAAGTGCTATTGTGTCCATCTTTAGATGAGTAAACTGAGGCACGGGGGATCAAGCACTTTGCTCAAAGATTCACAGCTTGAAGAGGGTAGGGCAGCATAGCTGAGCTGGGTCCATTGACCAGGCCTGGGGAAGCAAAGCCACAGCTACCTCAAACCCCTCTCTGGACATGTCCCACACCACCCCACCCCTGGCCTCACCACACACACCTGCCTAATTCTCAAGGGAGAAAGAAAATAGGGCTGTTGGAAGATAGGAGGAGGAGCCTGATGGTGACAGAGAAGCCTGGGAGGTCACAAGAACAGGGCTACTGGGCCTGATACAGGTGAGGGCCTCCCTGGCTGGGGCATGGGGAGAGGTGTGAGGATAAGGCTGGGCAGCACTGGCTCCAGGACTCCCAAGGGCATCATAAGAACCAGCCCAAATGAAGCCAAGGGAAAGAAACAGGGACCTGGGTTCATCAATGCCATGCGTTCTGGGCCAGGTGCCTTCTGTTGGTAATGAGGCTGAAGGATAAGCCATTAAATCGAGTATTTGTAATGCCCTCACCCTCCCTCCTCTGCTGGCTCAGCCACAGCAGGCCTTTGAGCTGGATCAATAGGGTTGAGGGTGGAAGGGAGCAGCACCTGGCATAGCTGTAGAGGTGAGGTGCAGGGTGTCGGGAGAGAACTACCTCTGCACGGGGACTGGAAGAAAGAAGGGCGGATGTGTGTCAAGTGGACACCTAGGAAGCCTTGCTAAGGCTTGGGGTTTCCAGGGCTTTTGGAGCTGAACTTGCCTCCCATCTCTGTTCTCCTTTCATCTTTCCTGGACCGAGTCAGGTGGGTGACAGATGAGGAAACCGAGGCACAAAGAGGCAAGATCTCCTGCCCATGGTTCCAAAGTGAGGAATTAGACTCAAGAGGCCAAAAGTGAGGTGCCTTCCCACACCTTGGTGGTGCTACCAAGGTCAGGGGCCCCAAAAGACAGGACCCTGGGGTATGCAAAACCTTTTCTTTGTAATGGACCATAATTTTTTTTTCTGGCCAGATTTCTCTCAGTATGTATGTATGTATGTATTTATTTATTTATTTTGAGATGGAGTTTCGCTTTTGTTACCCAGGCTAGAGTGCAATGGCACAATCTCGGCTCACTGCAACCTCCGCCTCCTGGGTTCAGGCAATTCTCCTGCCTCAGCCTCCTGAGTAGCTGGGACTACAGGCACGTGCCACCATGCCCAGCTAATTTTTTTTATTTTTAGTAGAGACGGGGTTTCACCATGTTGACCAGGATGGTCTCGATCTCTTGACCTCGTGATCCACCGGCCTCAGCCTCCCAAAGTGCTGGGATTACAGGCTTGAGCCACCACGCCCGGCTGTCTCTCAGTATTTATGCCAATGTTTGTGCAAGACAATTGCCTTAAATTCCTTAAGGTGGGATGAAGACTGAGGCAGGGGAGGAACTGTAGAGAAACAAGCCATGGAACATCAGGGACGGATTTAAAACAATCAAATCCTGTGTGTTCCAAACTTGCTGGTTTTTTGCTTTTGTTTTTGAAACAGTCTCGCTCTGTCACCCAGCCTGGAGTGCAGTGGTGTGTCATGGCTCACTGTGGCCTCAACTTACTGGGCTCCAGTGATCTTCCCGCCTCAGCCTCCCGAGTAGCTGGAACCACCGGCACATGCTACCATGCCTGGCAAATTACTTTACCGTTTGTAGAAAAAGAGTCTCCCTATGTTGCCCAGGCTGGTCTCAAACTCCTGGGCTCAGGTGATCCTTCTATCTCAGCCTCCCAAAGGGCTGGGTCATAGGTGTGAGCCACCCCATATGATGTCAAATATGTATTTTACATAATAAGAACACATCCTTCTTTCAAGAAAACTCTTAAACAAACCCCCACATTCCAAACAAATACAAATGGAGGGGCTCTGGTTGCGGGAGGGGCTCTGGTTGCGGCATGAGCAGGATAGTCCTGCAGTCCTCTCAGGGTCCCTGTCAACACCACAGAACAGATCAGCCCCCTCGTCTAATAGAGGGAGGAACTTGGCCAACTTTGGTGGCTCACACCTGTCATTCCAGCACTTTGGCAGGCTGAGGTGGCTGGATTGCTTGAGGCCAGGAATTCAAGACCAGCCTGACCAACATGGTGAAACCCCATCTCTATTAAACATGCAAAAATTAGCTGGGTGTGGTGGCGTGTGCCTGTAATCCCAGCTACTCGGGAGGCTGAGGAGAATTGCTTGAATCTGGGAGGTAGAGGTTGCAGAGAGCTGAGGTCACGCCACTGCACTCCAGCTGAGGTGATGGAGCAAGACTGCCTCAAACAAAACAAAACAAAACAAAACAAAACAAAAATAACAGAGGAAAGAAATTAGCTCAGAACTAAAGAGGGATCTGGAATCAGACAGTCCAGGGGCCGGCCCCAGCTGTGCTGTGTTCTTCCTAGCTATGTGGCTCAGAGAAAATCAAGTCACTTCTCTGTGCCTAAGTTGTGAAGATCTCACAGCTGACACCTGTAAAACGTGTTGCCACACAAACCTGGCACATGCTCAGAGCTTCGTAACTGCTGGTGTGAGGGAGACTTGTTCAAGGTCCCCCACGAATTTGAGAAGGGCAGTTGGGGTGGGGGTGTATAACGGAAGGCAGGGATGCAACATGCTGTGCCATTTAGAAAACGAAATACACATGAAGCAAAACCCTGTTCATGTACTTCAAACAACAGACACAGGGCTGGGCATGGTGACTCACACCTGTAATCCCAGCACTTTGGGAGGCCAAGGTGGGAGTATCACTTGAGGTCAGGAGTTTGAGACCAGCCTGGCCAAAATGATGAAACCCCGTCTCTAATATACACACGAAAAGAAAGTTAGCCAGGCGTGGTGGTGGGCACCTGTAATCCCAGCTATTCAGGAGGCTGAGGCAGGAGAGTCACTTGAGCCCGGAAGGCAGAGGTTGCAGTGAACTGAAATTGCGTCACTGCACTCCAGCCTGGGTGACAAAGTGAGACTCTGTCTCAAAAAAAACCAAGAATGGGCCGGGAGCAGTGGCACATGCCTGTAATCTTTGGGAGGCCAAGGTGGGAGGATTACTTGAGCTCAGGAGTTTGAGAACAGTCTGGGCAACATAGTAAGACTCTGTCTCTACTAAAAATTAAAAAAAAAAAAAAATTAGCCAGGCAGGTACTCAAGAAGTTGAGGTGGGAGGACTGCTTGAGTCCAGATTAGGGCTACAGTGAGTCATGAGCATGCTACTGCACTCCAGCCTGGGCAACAGAGCAAGACCCTATCTTAAAAAAAAAAAAAAAGGAAATAAATAAAAGACATGGGCACAGGTGGATTTCTCCAGTGATGGTGTAGATAGAAGAAGTGCTGAAGACAGGACACTCCTGGAGTCCTTCCACCCAGAGCCTGGCTCTTGGCCCTTTGCCTGCAGATGTGCGGCAGGCAGAGCTGAGAGCGGGCAAAGACAAGTTGCCACTGTGCTTGGGCATCCTGCCCACCGGCCCCACCAGGCAGCCAGAGATCCACATGGTTTCCATCACGGTTACAAAAGAAACAAATGCAAGTAGCTCTGTCCCTTCTGTGGCCCCCCACAGCCCGACATCTGCACACCTGCAAAGAACATTCTCTCGTCATTAGAGAGATGCCATTTGGGGATCTCAGAAGCCATGCAGGGGAGACAGAAACCTTCAGCTCTAGTTCAGGAACATTAAACGCGCTATGCTAACCTGGTTTGCTCATAAAATTCTTGTGTTAATGTCCTAGGGGAAACAAAAAGGTTAGCTATTTTAGCAGCATTCTCTAGTTTGGTTGGGCTGCCCTGTTTTCCTTCTGGCTGCAATGTCCTGATTCTCTGGGTCTCTGTGGTTCTCCCGTGGCCCTAACGGGCCTCTGTGAGGGAAGACAAGAGTGTGCTCTGAGGCTGGCGATGCTGGACTTTTCTTCTGTACCTGGGGAAAGGACCGGCTTCTATGTCACCAGCTCCTCTCTGAATATCCTCCTAATTCCCCTGGGAACAGTGGTGGACAACAAAAGGCTTCTGAAAGCGGTCCTCGGGCACCCCTGATGCCATTCCCCTGGTGTCACCTTTTGTGATTTTCAACTGAAAGGGCAAAGAAGTCAGGAGTAGGTGAGCTGGGAACTAAACTGGCGCTGCCCACAGAAAGTCATGCTTTCATTGCAGGCTCCCCCTGCTCTCCCACCCCACATGGCCACGTGGAAGCCACGCACTATTAGTTCCACATAATTGGAAAGTGTGTCAGGATCTCCCAGACACGAATCAGAAACATGCTGCTCAGTTGTCACCTCCAATGTGACTAATGGAGCTGTGTCTTAATTAGTCACTGCTCACTGACTGCGATGACAGCGCCTGAGCCTGTTCCAAGGTCCCAACCTGTGATGGGGCGCTGCAGAGGAGATTAAAGGTGAGAGGCCGCTGGGAAGGATAATTTTTCAGGTGTCTTTCCCACTGAGCACTGTGAACCCAGGTGGCCTCTGCCAAACCCCTTGGTCAACATCGTGACAAGACAGTCAATAGGGTCATAACACTGGGACACATTTACTGGAGGCAGAGAGGAGGAAATGTGACGGGGAAATGGTAGTCTAGAAGATTCCTTCACAAGTCAGCTGTTCTGTCACGGGTCCTTGTGCGGCTCCCCTGGGAAGGGGCCATGAAGGATGAACTGAGCCACTCTGGCTGGCCTTCACCAGGCAAATGCTGCTCAGGCCATGGGGCCCACCTGCCCCCAGGGCAGCCCAGCGACTGGCTAATGTATGACCTGTGATCTACAGTAGCTGTCTTGTAAAGATGACCTGAGACAGTTCCATTTCTCCTGCAGGGGTTTGCACTCAGAAGCAAAGAGGAGGGAGGAGGGTAGGGGCTGAAAGTAAAAGGTAAGAGACTCCCACCTCTAGTGGAAGCACCTAGGCCTCTACCCTATGGGCAGCACCCATGTCTGGGCCCTCCTCCTCTCACTGCCCACCAGCATGAGGGCTGGTCTGCTGTCTGGGCCCCAGGAAAAATGAGAATCACCCCAGTGTGAAGCCAGGAGGAGCAGAGAGGGCCAGAAGCTGCTCCAGAGCTTGGCCCCTGCCAGTCTCATAGCAAGGTAGCCTCCAGGCACCACCTCACTGCTTCCAGCATCCCCTTCCCTCCCTCCTAAGCGCCCAGGGCCCAGTGTTCACTGGGCCTCACAGATGCAGCATCCAGGCTCTTTAACTCTCAGGCCCCTCAGAAATGACTGAGATGAAAACAAAATTTACTAGCTCCAAAATATAACATTACAAAATTGCCTTTTCAAATGCTTTCCAGTTGCTACAGAACATACACCATATCAGTTAGGCAGCCACCACTCTTGTGTCATCCTCACAAATGCTTGTGTTTCAAAGTGGGACATGATGTACTGCAAAAGGTTCCACAAACTGGGGCTGGGGTCTCCAAACTTGAGTGTGTGGAGCCTGCAGAGGTGGGAACAGAGTTCTAGGCACACTTACTTTGCAGAGGATCTATGACATGCAAGGAAAGAGCTAATTCTCCACATCTCACCTCCAGCACTTTCCTTTCAAGCCCCAATGCCCAAGAAGGATGGACAAGTGAACTGGTGAAGAATTGACTGCATTTTGGAACAGGGGCTAAGAGCAACTCCTGCTAATTCAGCTGAAGGATAATTAAGAAGTATTTATAAGTCTGCCTTCATTAGGCCCCTAAAGGAGGCTGAACTACATTAAGAGCCCATTTTCCCAACTGTGCTCTGATACACTCAGACAGTTCTGGTTAAAAATGAGTAACACAAATTATGGGACTGATCATGCCAAGGTAATTGGGGACTGACTGATAATGCAAATCAATGAGTCTTCCCTCTCCTCAAATTCTTCAAGTCAAGCATCTTTTCTGCTACCTTGAAACTTCGTTAGCAAATGAAATATTTACAACATTAAGGGCCAATTCACTCAGGTAAGCAAATAACAGTAAAGCAACTAATTTTTCATCTGCATCTGATTGGCTCAGAAGTCTCATTTCCAAATACACAAGTCTCAGTTACTTCCTGGACACGCGTAGAATATTCAGTAAATAATTTTAGAGTAGTGATCTTGTTCAATTGCTTTTTCTTTATTCTTTTTTTCCTTATTTATTTTTTGAGACAGGGTATCGCTCTGTTGCCCAGGCTGGAGTGCAATGGCACGATCTCATTTCACTGCAACCTTCGCCTCCTGGGTTCAAGTGACTCTCCTGCCTCATCCTCCTGAGTAGCTGGAATTACAGGCACCTTGTTCCATGCCCGGCTAATTTTTGTATTTATAGTAGAGATGGGGTTTCACTATGTTGTCCAGATTGGTCTCAAACTCCTGACCTCAGGTGATCTACCCGTCTTGGCCTTCCAAAGTGCTGGGATTACAGGCGTGAGCCACCACACCCAGTCTTCAGTCGCTTTTTCTAGTTCTCTGTGTTTCGTCTTTGAGAAATTTCTAGGGGAACACTGACACTTGGGCCTTAGCTCACCTTCTTTCCAAATCTGGTCCTTTCTGACAGGCTCCACAGGCCTCTCAGCTTCCAGTGCGCCTTCCAAAACTCTTCCTTAGGGCCACTGAGAACCTTGTGCAAGCAGCTTCGTAAGTCCATGGGTCAGCTCCAAAGTTGCTTAGGACTGAGCTGCTGGTGGGAGCTCTTACTAGCAAGCCCCCTGCATGCCCATCTCATTTGCCATTGGTGCCTGGCCCCCAAAAAGAGCAGGGGTGTGTAAATATGTGAGGAAGGCCATGCAAGGTGACTCACACCTGTAATCCCAGCATTTTGGGAGGTGGAAGTGGGCAGATCACTTGAGGTCAGGAGTTCCAGACCATCCTGGCCAACATGGTAAAGCCTCGTTCCTACTAAAAATACAAAAATTAGCCAGGCATGATGGTAGATGCCTGTAGTTCCAGCTACTGGGAGGCTGAGACACAAGAATTGCTTGAACCTGGGAGGCGGAGGTTGCAGTGAGCCAAGAACATGCCACTGTACTCCAGTCTGGATGACAGAGCAAGTCACTGTCTCAAATAAATAAATAAGCAAATTGTCCCCACCCCCTTTTCAGCCATGGCTCTTCCAAGACTAGGCCAGGGATCATGCTGCCCCTGACTTCCTGCTGGGAACTGAACTCCATCTATCCCAGAGGCCACACAGCAGCACTCACAGCACCTACCTTCTAGGCCTGCCCAGCCTCTCACCTGAGTCCCTCCTCATCCAGGTTCTAGATGCTCCCACTCCTGCCTACCTCTTCCTCAACATCAAAAGCTGCTCAGGAAATAATTTTTTTTTTTAGAGACAGGGTCTTGCTCTGTTGCCCAGGTTGGAGAGCAGTGGTGTGAACATGCTCACTGCAGCCTCAAAATCCTAGGCTTAAGCAATCCTTTGCACCTCAGCCTCCCATGTGGGAACTGCAAGTGTCTGCCACCATGACCAGCTAATTTTAACATTTTTTGTAGAGATGGGGTCTCCCTGTGTCGCCTAGGTTGGTCTTAAAATCCTGGGCTCAAGCGATCCTCCCACTTCAGCCTCCCAAAGTGTCAAGATGATAGGCGTGAGCCACCGCGCCTGGCCTGGGATGTAATTCTTTTTTTGTTTTTTTCCTCCCACCAGAGAACAAAAGGGAAATAAATCTTGATGGGGTTATTTTACATCTTAGTGTGATTGAGTTATTGAGTCCACTCTGGGATTGGAATTTCCAGTATCCTCACTAATTCTGGAATAACAGCCTTTGAACCAGGTGAAAGGAAATTCTATCACCTGATTGAGGACAATATTAGAGCGAAGGGGCTGTCCTAGACCCCTGAAATCACACACTTGCCCTACTCTGCACTGAAACTAGTCCTGACTTCTCAAGGAATGGCTGTTTAACAAAACACAAAAACAAAAACGAATAAAACAGGCCGGGTGCAGTGGCTCACGCCTGTAATCCCAGCACTCTGGGAAGCTGAGGCGGGTGGATCACAAGGTCAGGAGATCGAGACCATCCTGACCAACATGGTGAAACCCCGTCTCTATTAAAAATACAAAACATTAGCTGGGTGTGCTGGTCCGTACCTGTAGTCTCAGCTTCTCAGGAGGCTGAGGCAGGGGAATTGCTTGAAGCTGGGAGGCAGAGATTGCAGTGAGCCGATATCGCACCACAGCACTCTAGCCTGGTGACAGAGCAAGACTCCATCTCAAAAAATAAATAAATAAATTAAAACAAAACAAAACAAAATGAACAAAACAAAGATCAGGCCAGACAGAGAAGATAGGAGAGAAAAATCCCACAAACTGAGAAACACAGCAGGACAGGGAGAGGAGCAAAGGAGACACCAGGCCTTTTAGTTCTAGACATAGGAGGCTCATTGGCACAGGCCAGGACACTGCCCCTCTTCCAAAGTCAAGAATCCCAGTCCCAGCTATGGCGTCAATGGAGGGAGAAACATTCTAGCTGAGGAATACCAGAAGTTCACATCCTCAAGTGACTTACCCACCCTCCTTATGAAATTGAAGAATATTTGTCCCTTTTGGAGGGAGAAGGGGTATGCAAGAAGAAAGGTCTTTACAAAAATATGAAGAAAACATTGTATTTCTTTTCAAACCAGGGGACTGATATGAAACTAGCAACAGGAACGCATGATTAAAGAAAAAAAATGGCTGGTCTGGAATCACAGCACTTCGGGAGGCTGAGGCAGGAGGATCACTTGAGCTCAGGAGTTCAAGGTAACATAGTGAGATACAGTCTTTACAAAAAAATTAGAAAGTAGCTGGGTGAGGCAGCACACACCTGTGGTCCCAGCTACTCAGGAGACTGAGGTGGGAGGATCACTTGAGCCCAGGATTTTGAGGCTACAGTGAACTATGATGATACCCACTGCCCTCTAGCCTGGGTGAGAGGAGAGACTGAGACCTTGTCTCTGGAATGAATAAATAAAGACAGGAGGAAGGAGGGGCCCTGCTTGAATCAGGTTGGGAAGTGGCTGGGAACAGGGCAGCATAGCGCCTCCAGGAGTTGCAGTCAGGTCAGCATTAAACAGCACAGCAGCAGCTTCTCACTGAGAGACCCCAAGCCAAATCTGAAGTGCTCAACATTCACGCGTGGCCAGAGGAGCACAGCAAGTCAGCGATATTCCTTCCTTTCATAAAGGTTGTGCCTCAGAGACTTGTTTCCATGGATAAGTAGCCTCACTATATTTTAAGTAGTATTTAAAGACAAAAGTGTGATTTCTGCTCCTCAAATCCAAAGTGAAGCAGGCTGGTCCACAGGTACGCAAACTCCCTGAGGCAACAGTTGTGGCTCTAGAGGGTCTAGCAGGGGAAATGCCAGAGGTCTGGCCAGCTGAGCTTCAGGAGGCGCCAGAGGCACAGAACGGCAGAGGCCCAGCCGTCAAAGTACAGACAGCCCAGGTGGCAGGTGCCAGTCCTGGGAGAACACGCAGCCATGAGCATGACTCTCCCTACACACAGGGAAGCAGGACATAGGAAGAAGCCCTGGGCTGCCTTCCCAGCTGGCTGTCTTTCAAGAGGAGCTGGCCCTGACAGTAGTACTAGGCAAACAGCAGTGGAGAGATGAAACAGTGAACGCTTCCTTCAGACACAGAGCCTCTCTCAACCTGAGAGCATAATCCTAGGGGTCCTGCTCCCAGAGGCTACGGAAGTCACAGGGCTGCTTGTGAAACAGCAGCTGTGTTCCTGGAGCAGAGAACAGGCACGGTGGACATGAGCACGACTGGTCCTGGGCTTGTCACTAAGGAAGACAATGGGGCATGCCAACCTTGCTGGCATCACAGCCATGTGGGCTTGCCGGAAAAGCCAATCTCAGAGCCCTCCTCCCGGGAGACACAGACCTTGAAGGCCTGGAGTGGGTCCTGGAAAGCCACATTCTCACTTGCAACCCACTTCTCAGTCTGTGCCTCCCTCCTTTGGGACCAGCCAGGGAAGGCAGCTATGGTTCCAGCTTCTAAGTCAGATAAAAGGCATGACAGCCATACCGCAGGTCCATTCTTTCCCCACTGGCAACATTCTCTTGTCACATCTATCAAAATTCTGAGGCAGGTAGAATGAGGATGATGCTTGAGTCTGGGATCAAGTGGGCACGGGGTAGGTACAGGGTCCTGGGAGGGTGATCAGCAGCTGCAGAGTAGAGTAACCGTTCATGAGGACTGAAGGGCCCTTTCTGTGCACTCCAGGGACAGCAAAAGAACATGGGAGGGAGGGAGAGAGGACTGCCTTCTATGTGTGCTCCACCTGACTTCATGGGACCATCCATTTTTCTGAGCTGGCCTGACCTTGCCCTATGAAGGCATGACTGAGGCCACGCTTTTGGAGGTCCTCTAATTTAGCTGCTTTTCTCCCAATTAGTGCAAAGCGTTCTCTCTCTGAGTAGATAAAACCCTGCCAGGGTGACTAGGCCGGGGTCTTGGTGTACTGACAGGTCTTGATCCTTGGCCCCTGGGTACTGGCTCGGGGCAAGCAGATTTAAGTACATGCATATTAATGCATGATAGGAGTTGCCCTTACTGGCCCTCTCTCTAGGTGTAGACACAGGAAGTTCAGGGCACTGAATGAGAGGATTATTAACATCCTAGTTACAGTTTGCGCATGAAGTTCTGAAGGATGATCATATCTAAAAGGAATTAATACAGTAATGAAAAAGAAATACATTATACCCCAGAACACTGCTCATGATCTCACCAGCAGGGTGCAGGCTGCAGAATGCCTGGGCTCATGGTGTAGCCTGGAGCACCAGACCCCCATGCCACCACCCTCGCCCTGGGGCTGGAATTCATTTTTCTTGATCAGTGCTGGAAATAATGGGTCAGCGGGAGGGGCCTGACTCAGTAATACTTGTCATATAGAATTCACCCTGACTGTCTTATTCTGAAGATAAAGAAAGTACATCTGTTACACCTTATCTGCCACCAGTACAATTCCCATGTGAGAAGTTACAGAAAGCTGCAAAGCAGCATTCCCTTCAGGGACAAAGTGGCTCAACTGGATCACAGTTTTCTTCAAAGTCCGCCTCTTGCAGGTGACCGGGTCAGGAGTCCCCAGCTAGCTTTCACCCACCTGAGAGCCCACCCTGGGTCAAGTATGCGCTGACCTGGGGCAGTGGGGAACAGTGTGATCACGACAGGCAAGATTCCTCTAACTTACTCTGGGAAATGTTATCTGAAAACCTTCCTGGTTTCATTTCTTGAATTTCTCACTGGGTAGCATTTGTCCTTCTCTAAAAACCCAGACCACAGTGTTGACACAGAGAAAGCCACAACTCCAGGGCCACACCGTTTCCATCTGGTGCATAACATCATCTCTCTTTCTCTCTTTTACCACAGAAGTTCCATATTCCTGTGAAGGGTAAAATGGCTGCATTTCTTTTTCTGGGCCAGATGATTATTAACAATTAACAAATAAGACTTAGTTTGTGGGAGCATGCAACTCCAAAGGCCAATCACACTCAAAGGGAACGAGTATATTAGTGAAAGAGAAAATGCTGATCACTATAAAATGATGAAAAAACTATATTATTTTTAAAGGGGTTTTTGGCCTTCACTTAAAAATGAAACTCCTCCTCCCCATTTCAGATTCTGAATGAACACAAGTGTCTCAGGCAGTGGCTCCCTCTGGCCTCACCTCTGGGGCTGCTGTCACTCCGCTGCAGAGCCCTCAGTGGGGCTCTTACATAGGATATGTGTTCCGCCCCTGGAACTGCCCATAGCTGGTCCAGGTGCCTCAGGTGTCCATGTTCCCCTGGAGTCAGGTTGTTTTGTCAGTGCATCTGGGAACACCTAACTGAGTCCTGAGGAAATGGACCAGCTTGGTCTCTGTGAGGAATGCTGTCCCAAGCGTTGCTCCCAGACAGAAGGCCCCCAGGGCAATGTGTCCCAGTCTGGCTGGCCAGCCCTGCTCACAGCAGAGGAACACCTGGGTAGAGAAACCACTGTTGGTGCCCATTCCTCAGTCTGTGCTTCCCTCCTCTGGGACCAGCCAGGGAAGGCAGCTCTGGTTCCAGCTTCTAAGTCAGATAAAAAGCATGACAGCCATACTGCAGGTCCATTCTCTCCCCACTGGCAACATTATTTTGTCACATCTATCAAAAGATGCTACCCTAGAGGCCTGGGAAGGGGATGGGGGATCCAAACACCTGTCCAGTTGGGTTCAGGCAGGGCAGGAAGGGGAGGCCTAGTGGAAGGGACAGCGGGGCAGTTGCAGAAGCATGCAGCGTGGTGGCTCAGGGAGTCTCACCTCTGAAACAGCAGTGACCCCACCGCTGAGGGCAAATGCCCCAAGCAGGACTGGTGACAGGCACAAGCCAGCCAGGGGCCTGTGGGGGCTCCTTCGGTAGTAGTGGTGGATGAAGCAAAGGCTCTGTGTGATCCGGATGCCCATGTTAAAGCAGTTGGCCAAGATGAAGCCCACGCTGCCACACCAACGGGTCAGGAGATAGGATAACACCAGGAATGAGGAGGACAGGGCCAGCATCACAAAATTGTACCTGGGAGAAGGAGACAGCAAAGCAGGGCAGTGGTAACCTCACCCCGGACAAGGCTGCTACCAAAACAGCAGCCACAAACATCAGCTCACAGAAAGAACCTGAGTTCCCAGAATCCAGGGTTTTATAACATTGAATGCTACACGGAGACCATGGAAATGTCCCAGTCCCCTTACCCTGAACAGAAGGGTAAGAAACAACTCAAGAGTTATATGTGTTTTGAAGATAATAATTGGTTAGTTAAGTGACACTTTGGGATCAAAACACATGAAAACTCTGTTCAGCCCAAGTCCTCAATGTGATATACAAGAATGTGACCAGATAATAATTATGTATTGGAAGCTAACTGTGTGACAGGCTCTGTGAGGAGTGCTGGGGACACACTAGTGAATGAACACACATGGCCCTTGGGAAATGCAGCACCCAGCAACCTTGGGCAGGAGACCCCATTCAAAGCAAATGACTGGCCTCCAAAACGAAATGGGAACTGAAACCAAAGCCTGGATCACCTCTGCTGTTTCCAGACTCTTACAGAGCCTCACGCCCACTCTTTGTTTCTCTAGAGCTCTGCAGACCCTGGTGCTGAATGGATTATACTACTCCTTGCATTTCTCTGATTTCAAAGCGGAACATCACTTAGCTATCTTCAATTCCCCACAAAGAAAACAGATTCTCAGCAAACACAAAATAGCTACCATAGTCCTCCAAAATGCTTGTACAATCAAGAACAGAATCCTCCAGCCTCTGGTTTCTGCCTCGTATCAAGCAGGAACTCTAAGTATACAGCCACTGAGGGAACAAAACTTTTGATGTCCTCAAGCCATGTCTGCTGGGTTAGGAAACCTCAGAGGCCACCACCCATGTTCTGCACATGAAGGGTGGTAAGAAAGACACTGTGCGCCTGTAATCCAAGTGCTTTGGGAGGCTGAGGTGGTGGGAGGATTGCCTGAGGCCCAGGAGTTCGAGATCAGCCTGGACAACATAGCTGGTGGACCCCCGTCTCTACAAAAACGATTAAAAATTATCCAGGGATGGTGGCACACACCTGCAGCTACTCGGGAGGCTGAAGTGGAAGGATCACTTGAGCCTAAGAGTTTCAGATCAGCCTGGGCAACATTATGAGACCCTGTCTCTACAAAAAATTAAAAAATTAGCCATGATGCATACCTGTCATCCCAGCTACTTGGGAGGCTGAGAGAAGAGGATGGCTTGATCCCAGGAGTTCAAGGCTACAGTGAGCTATGATCATGCCACTGTACCCTAGCCTGGGCAACAGAGCAACACCCTGTCTCGAAAAACAGTAATGACTTAAAACTGCATATGGCGGCCGGGCACAGTGGCTCATGCCTGTAACCCCAGCACTTTGGGAGGCCAAGGCAGGTGGATCACGAGGTCAGGAGATTGAGACCAGCTTGGCTAACATGGTGAAACCCTGTCTCTACTAAAAATACAAAAAATTAGCTGGGGATGGTGGCATACGCCTGTAGTCCCAGGCACTCGGGAGGCTGAGGCAGTAGAATCACTTGAACCCGGGAGGTGGCAGTTGCAGTGAGTTGAAATCGCACCACTGCACTCCAGTCTGGGTGACAGAGCAAGACTCCATCTCAAAAAAAAAAAAAAAGCAAAAGCATATGGCTGGCCTCACTGCCAGAGTTCCTGATTCTGCAGGTGTGGGAAGAGGTCCTAGAACTTGGCCAGTACCCTAGAACTATGCTTGTAATCCCAGGGCACTGAAGGCTGAGGCAGGAGAATTGCTTGAGGCCAATGGTTTGAGAGCAGCCCGTACAACACAGTGAGATCATGTTTCTGCCAAAAAGAAAAAGAAGGCAAGCCACCCAGGTATAGGTCTTTGCTGATGAAGACCAAGGTGCTTTGGAGATACGCTTGGTAAAAATACCACACACACACACACACACACACACACACGCACGCAACACGTGCACACACACACACGGTACTCCAACAGGAGAGAGTTCCAGAGAGGGAGTTTATTTGCTTCTCAGTCCAGAGAGTCTCTTTTAATGAAGTACAAGAGCCTGTACCTCACAGGGGAAGTTTTCTCACTACTAAAGAGTGATCAGAATGGTCAACTTCAGAACAAGCCACTCAAATGGGATCCGTCATAGACCAGTACTTTGGCCTCTTTTCCACAAAGCAGCAGAGATATGTAACCTATTTTTCAGAAACTATCTCAGAAAGGTCTACTATACCAATCCTTGGAGTTTAAGTCACAGATTCATAAACTTTCAGCCATTCTTCCCCAACTCCAAGTAAAATAACAATAGTGAATAAAACCAATAGTTAATTCAGGCCAATTCAAGCAGAGACGCATTCAACAGCACAGCCTCTTTTGTATGGCCATCTGAGAGTAGCTGAGGATGGGGTCCATTGTCTGTCACTAGAAAAGGACTCTGCAGCTGCTGAGCTTTCCAGAATTCACAAATCTGTAGCCTTAAAGGCATAATTCACTTCAGAAAAAAATGAGAATTAAAAAAATGCAATTAAAATATCACTTTAAATCAAAGCAAAAGTATTAATAAGTGACAAAATGACTATCATATAAGATTTGGTTAACATAAACAGTAAATTATTTATGAATACTCATTTCTCCATGGTCCCAAGAAGATCCTGGACTTACCATCAGGCTTTTTAAAAGATGGATTGGCCGGGCACAGTGTCTCATGTCTGTAATCCTAGCATTTGGGAGGCTAAGGTGGGTGCATTGCTTGAGCCCAGGAGTTGGAGACCAGCCTGGGCAACATGGTGCCCAGAGACTCCATCTCTACAAAAAACTACAAAAATTAGCTGGGCATGGAAGTACACACTTGTACTCCCAGCTGCTCAGGAGGCTGAGGTGGAAGGATCGATTGAGCCTAAGAGGTCAGGGCTGTAGTGAGCTATGATTGTACCACTGTACTTCAGCCTGGGAGACAGAGTGAGATCCTGTCTCAAAAAAAGAAAAAAAAAAAGGATGGATGGTCAAGGATATCAACTGTAGCACCACCTGAAGCAGCCCCCAGCAGGTGCTAGTTGAATACATCAAGGCACAGCCATACAATGGAGCCTTCACAGCCAAGAAAAGGATGGCACTGATGTCTTATGTGCCAAAGTGAGATGATTGTACCCATCCTTCATTTGACAGTTATGGAGCCTGCTTTGGCACTCAAAGCCCAACAAATCAGGCAAACGAGCTGTTAATCTTGGGCCTTTATACAACTGATCCCTCTGCCTCGAAGGCTCTGCCCCCATCTTAGACCATCTTCTTGGTCATCCTAAATGCTGCTGTGCTATAGGGGCCTGCCCAGCATACGCAATCTAAAGGGCCCCTACCACTCACTATATACCACTATATACATGTCTGAGAATCTAAAAACAGACAATTCCAGCACATCATTCTCAGCACATCAGATTTTCTTATTAATTTACTTGTTTGCTATCCATCTCCTATCGTCAGCTCTAGGAGAGCAGGGATCCCATCTATCTTGTTCATTGGTGTATTCCTAGAGCTTAAAACAATGCCTATTAGAGAGCGGATGCTCAAAAGTAATTGTGAAATCAAAGAAAGAAAATTAGACAGCCTTAACAACAAAAATTCTTCAACAAGGTACAATGAAAAATCCATCAATCAGATTCTATATATACTACGAGGTTATTTAAAAAAGCAACCAGGCTGGGCATGGTGGCTCACACCTATGACCAGTACCTTAGAACTACGCTTGTAATCCCAGGGCATTGGAGATGCACCTACTTTGGGAGGTTGAGACAGGCAGATCACCTGAGGTCAGAAGTTTGAGACCAGCCTGGCCAACATGGTGATACTCTGTCTGTACTAAAAATACCAAAAAAAAAAAAAAAAAAAAAAAAAGCTGGGTATGGTGGTACACCTATAATCCCAGCTACTTGGGAGGCTGAGTCAAAAGAATCGCTTGAACCCAGGAGGCGGAGGTTGCAGGGAGGCGGAGGTTGCAGGGAGCCGAGATCGTGTCATTGCACTCTAGCCTGGGTCGCAGAGAGAGACTGTCTCAAAAAAACAAACAAACAAAAAGGAAATGGTAATTCAAAGGATGTTTTAATAATTCATATCCAACCAAACGCTCTTTTTTTTTTGAGACAGTCTTCTGTTGCTCAGGCTGGAGTGCAATGGCGTGATCTTCGCTCAGCGCAACCTCTACCTCCTAGATTCAAGTGACTCTTCTGCCTCAGCCTCCTGAGTAGCTGGGATTACAGGCGTGTACCTCTACATCCTGCTAATTTTTCTCTTTTAGTAGAGACGGTGTTTCACCATTTGGCCAGGCTGGTCTCAAACTTCTGATTTCAGGTGATCTGCCCGCCTTGGTCTCCCAAAGTGCTGGGATTATAGGTGAGCCACCACGCCTGGTCTAAATGCTCTATTTCTATTCAGAAAAACACTGCTTAACCTGAAGTGGATTAAGTAAAAAGCCTGCTTTTTTCTATTCAGAATCTGAAATGTCCAGTGTAAAGTCATTATAATTGATTCTAACAGTTAACTAAGCTATCCGATTCCATAAAAATCATTGCTAGAGTTTTATGTCTGCTAAAATTCACAGGGTTAAAAAAAAATGCTAATGTCTGTGATGAGCCGAGGTGCTCCATGTGCTCAGATCAGGGCCACAGGTACTGGGGCCAGGGGCCCAGAGAGAAATGGAGCTGTTGTGTTTCATACATGTCTGAAAACTGCACTTAATGTCACATTTTACTCTTTGGGAAGGTGAATTTCCTCACATGGGAACTGTACTAGAAGGTACTCTGGGCTCTGTTTTGACTACTGTACTAGAAGGTACTCTGGGCTCTGTTTTGACTAATACCATGAAAATAATTTTCCAGATATTTATATACTCTCAAAATTCCATTACAACTAACTTAAACAGTTGTTTCTTTTGGTTCAATACAATATAAGAGAAAAGAAAGCAACCAGCCACTATCCATATTCCTTCACACAATTTGGTTGCAATTTATAAACACATTTTAAATGGGTGTGGTGTTGATTTACCCCTTCAACACTAACACTTAAGTTGCCATAACAAAATTCCCTTCAAGGACATATACTCCTAGTTCCGCTCTTTCCATTCTGACACAGTGCCTCATTTTGCATGTTTCAAATTATATTTTTGTTATTCAATGTTAGAAGCAGGTTTCAAATACAAACATTATATTTTCAAAGCTAAATTGAAATAGACTTTTGCATCCATGGGGAAAGAAGAGGACAGATTCAAAGCAGCTCTACTCCACAGCTATAAATTTAACTATCTGAGGCCAAAACCATGTCTAGACCACTATTTTAAAACTATGGGTTGTGACCTACTAGCAGTCTGGGAAATCAATTTAGAGGGTAATGGCTTGGCAGTTTTGAAAAACAAAATAGAAGAGAGACCAGAAAGCATCAGTGTATCATGTGCATTCCTGCTTTGTAAACTCATGTCTCAGTCACACACACCTAAGTGCGACCTGGGTCACAGTGCTCACAGTCATTTTTACTGTGACAGCTGGTCTGGGGCAAGTTTCCAAAGCCCTAGAATCAGAATTGCCTAGATCTGTGTAATAAACAGATTCCCTGGCTCAAGCCTTCTAAGATTCTAATTCAGCTGGGCTGCAGGGGGACCAGAAATTCCTAGGAGAATCTCATCAGTCTGGACTGAACCTGCTGGTCTGGACTCTAGTTCTCAGCCACTTGTGTAGCAAACAAAGTCCCCAAGCTTTTACGTGAGCCAGCCCAGGAAGAGACACACACAGAGGAAGGGGAAGAATCCCCAGCTGAGACACTCCGTCCCCATCCCACCCCACGGCCAGGCCTCTGAGGACCCTCACCAGCACTCAAGATTAGAGAGGCAGCATGAAAACCCCATGGGATCCTGGCTTCAAGAGGCAGTGGGAAAATGAGGGCCAGTCCCCGCATCATCTACGCCTGCCCTTTCTATGATTTCTCTCTCTTCTCCTCAGTGTCATCCTCTAGTGTTGCCTTAAGACGCTGCCTTACTTTTTTTTGGCGTTTGGTACACAAGAGGTGGATGATCCTGGGTGTAGGCCAAATGCACTTAACCGGGAAGGGTTCACAGCAGAATCACTGAGGAGCATTCAAAAAACGCACATATGTCTAGGAGCCTGCTGAGACCATGGTGTGGTGGGAAAGAAAGGGGTAGAAGGAGAGTGGCCAAGAATCTGCATTTCTAACAAGCTCCAGGGGGGATTTTAACTCACAATCAGTATTAAGAACCACTGGCAGGGATTCTAGGATAGGAGTCCTGATCTGGAGTCAGCAGTTGAGAAAAATCAATCATGGTAAGATGTATATGTGCATTTGAGCTTTTCTCAGGAGAGGTGTCATAGAATCCCTGAGATTCTCAAAGACCCACCAATCAGATTATCAGGGGTAGAAATCTGCATCTTGAAGAAGTTCCTCAGTAACTTACTGGAGGACCACTCTTCCGGGGTAAGCAAGGAGGTGGAGGAATGGAAATCTAGCTTGTCTGCTGCCTGACTCTACAAACCTGGACTAAAATAACCTTTCAGGGCTGATGTTTCTCCCTCCACAAAGGGAGGCAAAGAGTAGTTGCTGCCTCCCAGCCCTACGGTGGGGAGGACTTACTGAACCTGCCAGTGCTAGAGATCCCAGGGAAGCAACACGCTGGTGGACTAAGTGTTGCCTCTAAAACAGCCATCTGTAAATGCATGTTCAGAATGAAAAGCAAAAAATTGACAAGTTCCTTCATTTTGGCTAAAGGCCATGATTAAAGGTGTACCTGCTAGGTTACCCACCTGTCGACCTCCTCTTTGCTCATGGCAGCAAATGTGAAACACTCTGTCACTCCGTTGATGGCAAGCAGGAGAACATAGAGACAGTAGGAACGCAGTAAAACAGGACCTACAAAGGAAAACAACTAATTGAGACTCCAGAGCCCAATCGAAAGGCCCACGTGTAACCTCAGCTCTGCTGAGTGCCCAGAGAATACCAGAACCAGGCCATGAGACCTGCTGGTATCTGCAATCGGCAGACTGCATGCTGGAGCCCAGGGTCTTAATTATCAAGAAGGATTCCCAACATTCTATGGCATTGACTAAATAATCAACAAAAAACAAAAGGATAGGCCAGGGATGGTGGCTCATGCCTGTAATCCTAGCACTTTGGGAGGTCAAGGCAGGCAGACCGCTAGAGCCCAGAAGTTCGAGATCAGCCTGGGCAACATGGTGAAACCCCACCTCTACCAAAAATACTAAAATTAGCTGTGTGTGATGGTGCATGCCTGTAGTCCCAGCTACTCGGGAGGCTGAGGAGGGAGGATCACCTGAGTCTGGAGAGGTCAGAGCTGCAGTGAGCCATGATAGTGCCACTGCACTACAGCCTGAGTGACAAAAGAAGACCCTATCTCAAAAAAAATTGTGAATAAATGTACAGATCTCTTACTGGACAGCTAAAACCTTAGCTGGCTAGTAAGCAAGTCTGTTCACTTTTTTTCATCAGCATGAATAGGCCTGCTAGTTTGAACTCAAAGTCACTAGTGACCCTGCATGGTAACGGAATCTCAGTTGAGCAGGTCCTCAAGAAAACACCTTTAAGAAAGGCCCGGGGCCCAGGACAAGCAGAAAATTACACAAATCCAAAGTGAGAACTATTTGCTTTTAAAACAAAGTAATGCAGCGGCCAGGCGCAGTGGCTCAAGCCTGTAATCCCAGCACTTTGGGAGGCCGAGGCGGGTATATCACGAGGTCAAGAGATCGAGACCATCCTGGTCAACATGGTGAAACCCCGTCTCTACTAAAAATACAAAAAATTAGCTAGGCATGGTGGCGGGTGCCTGTAATCCCAGCTACTCAGGAGGCTGAGGCAGGAGAATTGCCTGAACCCAGGAGGCGGAGGTTGCAGTGAGCCGAGATCGCGCCATTGCACTCCAGCCTGGGTAAAGAGCGAAACTCCGCCTCAAAACAAAACAAAACAAACAAACAAACAAAAAAAAAAAACCAAAGTAATGCAATTCTATTGCTAACAAGCTTTGGAAAAATCTGCCAATTGGAGAACAGGAGGCTTACAAATGGGACTGATTCACCTCTTTTAAGGGGCCACAATCAAGCACCTAATAAATATACACCTAACCTACGACCCAGCAATTGCACCCCTAGGTATACATCCAACAGAAATGAACACACATTCACAAAAACACTTGTACAAAACATCTGTAGCAGTTTTATTTATAACAGCCAAAACTGACCATCAACAGAAGAAAGAATAAGCAAACTGTGGGCCATCCATACAAAAGAATACTTAGCAAGAAAAGATAATAAAATTCCTTATCTATGCAAAACCATGGAAGAATCTCAAAAACTTTATATTGAAGGAAATATGCCAAATGCAAGAGCGTCCATGCTGCATTTCATTGATATGAAATTCTTTTTAAAAGAAATACCAATCCATGGTGATAGAAATCAGATTTCTTCAGATTTCTCTTCACCTCTGAGGTGGAGTGAGGCGGTTGACTGGAAAGGGTCCCAAAATAACTTTCTGGGGTCATAGAAATATTCTATATGTGAATCTGGTTGGTAATTACATGGGTTTCTTTGTACACATTTGTCAAAACTTATCAAACTGTACTTTTAAGAGAACAGCATTGGCCAGGCGCGGTGGCTCAAGCCTGTAATCCCAGCACTTTGGGAGGCTGAGACGGGTGGATCACGAGGTCAACAGATCAAGACCATCAGAAAACCCCGTCTCTACTAAAAATACAAAAAGTTAGCTGGGCATGGTGGTGCGTGCCTGTAATCCCAGCTACTCAGGAGGCTGAGGCGGGAGGCAGGAGAATTGCTTGAACCCAGGAGGCGGAGGTTGCGGTGAGCCAAGATATTACCATTGCACTCCAGCCTGGGTAACAAGAACGAAACTCCATCTCAAAAAAAAAGGAACAGCATTTTACTTTATGTAAATTATACCTCAACAAAGAAAAAAGAACTTAACCACTAAAAGAAAAGGAGGGGGGAGTGAAGTTCTGGAGTCTGAGAATCTGGAACTCATTCAGGGTTTATGAAAGCTGTTTCATATAAAAGATCTCCAGGCAGTGGGGACCCTAAATAGTTTTATGGCAGTTATAAAATTATAAAAGGAACACTAACAGGGCAGCCCTGATGCCCAACAAAAAACCATTTTCCAAGGCCCTGTCTCAGATTCCACATTTATCACATCACATTGCATTTGGCCTGTCAAGCCGCTGCAGGAAGCAGCCTGGCCCCCACCCCAGCTAATGGTGACTCCAGGAAGGGAGGCAGGGACCATGGTCTGCACCCGGGAGGCTCAAGTCTAGGCTCAAGTGTGGCTCAAGTGTGCCTCCTGCTTCTCCCCATCCTCCTCTCCCTGGGAGAAGCAGAGGAGTGGGGAGCCTCATCACTGAACACTAACGGCACAGGTGGGCCCCTCTGTAGGTGAACAGTGAGCTGCTGTGAGGCACAGAGAACAACACAAACTACGGCACGATGCAGTGACTCAAGTAAAGGGTTTTGCGTCCATTTGGGGAATTCAAGAACGGAACCAACCTTTGATTGTAGACTGAATTGAGGGGTGTTTTAGGTTGAATTGTCCCCCCAAAATAGATATGTTGATGTCCTGACCAGTGCTGCCTTGGAATCTGACCTTATTTGGAAACAGGGTCTTCATGAAGAAAACTGAGTTAAAATGCGGTCATTAGGGCGGGCACTGATCCAATATGACAGGTGTCCTTATAAAAAGGTGAAACTTGGCCGGGTTCAGTGGCTCACGCCTGTAATCCCAGCACTTTGGGACGCCCAAGGGGGACAGATCACCTGAGGTCAGGAGTTTGAGACCAGCCTGGCCAACATGGCGGAACCCTGTCTCTACTAAATATACAAAAAATTAGCCGGGTGTGGTGGCAGGCGCCTGTAATCCCAGCTACATGTGAAGTGGGAGTTTCCTGAACACGGAAGGCGGAGATTGCAGTGAGCCAAAATTGTGTCGCCATACTCCAGCCTGGGCAACAGTGAGACTCCGTCTCAAAAAAAAAAAAAGTTAGGGGAAACTTGCACACTGAGGCAGACATGCGCAGGGGGATGACGACGTGAAGACAGAGAGAACACAGCTGTGTGACCACAGTGCTGCAGCTGCATGTCAAGGAACGCCAGGATGCCAGCAACCACTAGAAACTAGAAGAGGCAGGGAGGGGCCTCTCATCGAACCTTCAGAGAGAACACGGCCCTGGCCATCGCTTGATTGTACACTTCTGGCCCCCAGAATTGACCGACAATATGCTCTGCTGTTTAAAGACACCCAGTCCATGGTACTCTGTCATGGCAAAGTACCTACTTAACTAAGCCCTAACATGTTAACATGTCTTCGTTGAGTCAAGCAGATAGATAACTAAGACAAGGGGATAGAGAAGGAGAAAGTAAAAAGCAGAGGGGCAAGAGAGAAGCACCAAAGAGAGAAATGTGAGAAATCTTGGGGAAATTCTGTGAACATCTGGGATTTGCTTAAGGACAGAAAAGCTAGGTTTTGTTCTGTGAGTTATCAAGAAAAAAGAAAAGAAAAAGCAAAGCTAGGTGTGAGAAGGATTTCTAAGAAAAGCCTCCAGAACACTTAGAAAGCCCCTAATGAAATACACTGCTAATCCCAAACACTAGAAGAGAAGCCACACCCCTAGACAAAGGCCTGTCTGCTGTGTCTGAGTCGCTCATTTGGAGATGGCCAGTACAGCTCACAGGTAAGTCCACTTCCAGGGTGAAGACAGAAAAGTACATAACTGGGGACAACTGGGATGGCAGTGTTGCAAGTTCCACTTTCAAAAGTAAGATGATGGGGCTGAGTCATGATGAAGATGGGACAGCCCCCTCTTTGTAGCAATGCCTGTGACTGTGTGACATTAAAGGCGGCTCCTCCATGTTGTTTTCTAAGGGTGCAGAGCTGCTATAGGATAGTTGAGTTCCCAATCTCTACCCATAAACTTACTAATGCCTTCCTAATGAGGCCTCCTTGCAGCTGCCTGATGGAAATGTTCTTCTCACAGCACAAGCCCCAGGGAGCTGCAAACCCCTTCACTCGTTTCACAGCAGGTGTTTCTCCAAACTTAATGACCTTTGCTCTGGTATGTAAACTTGGCCCTTCTTCCCCTAACACCAAAAGTTTGGGCCCCATTACAGTGGAGACTAAAACAACCTAGTGAACTTGTAAAATGGCATTTGACAAGCCCTTTATATTGAGATGGGGCAGCAGAAAGAAGTCCTCGGGGTTCCTGTCCAGTGACCTGAGAAATTAAAAACATCTTTGCTAAACCCAACATGAAACACTACAGAGGGACTGCCAGCTTACAGCCCAGCGCATTTTAAAACTGGTGAAGTCCCCAAGGCCTAGCAAGTGCTGTGAGATGCTCAGCGGCCTGGTGTTTCAAAATTAGACACATTCAATACTTTTCTTCTTCAAAAACCGAGAGTCTGGATTAAATATACCATTTTATTTGCAGAGATCAATTTTATTCGCTGCAAATGGCTCTGGGTTATCCTTCAGAGGCTTTTATGCACCAGGCTGGGAGATTTATGTGGCATTTACTATCTTCAAATGTGTTTAGTATCAAGCGGAGACTCATTACCGTCTGCCCTCTGCCTTCCTCCCTCACCCCAGAGAGAGCACAGGAAGCGCTTGGCAAAACATATTCTAGGCCCAAGAGGAAAGCCAACGGCAAGGAGGAGTCATAATAACTTCTCCAAGCGAGGCTGGGGAAGCTGTTCGCCCCAGCATCAACGCCCCTGCCTACACCTTGAGTGTGTGTCTGAACTTGAATGAGGGGAACAGTCCCACAGCCCCTGCCACCAGTTTTCCCTAAATTGACAGTTTTCAACTGTGTGCACCCAAGTTCTTGAATTTCATGACTCTTCTATTTCTGTTGGGAAATTAGAACAAATTCAGAAAAACTCTTGTGTGTACCTGATCCTGAGCTAAGCATGGTCCCTCCATAGATATCCAGAGCCAGTTGAGAATAGGCAAAGCCAAAAACAGTGATGGTCAGGCCGGACAGCAGGGCCAGCTTTAGCAGGGACTCCAAGACTGCAGCAGCCACAGCAACGTCCTCCTGGGGCCAGGGGGAGAGGGAAGGAAGTTGGATGAGTCATGAGCTGAAGAAAACCTTCACCCTTCATCTCTGGCCTTCTTCCTTCACTGTTTTACAGTTCACTCTTCCAAAACGGTGATGGATTTCACTGCTTTTTTTGTAGCATGTTTGTTTTCATGTAAATTAGCAAATGAAGGAAAGAAAAAGTATGTGTCTCCTTAGCTGGTAAGGGAGAGGGTTAGTTTTCAATTCACTTGGGATAAATTGTTCCAAATATTGCTTAGGAAACACTGACTTTCCCCTCTGATATTTATTATTTTTTAAAAAAACAGAAATAGAGGAGGGTGTCTCACTATGTTGACCAGGCTGATCTCAAACTCCTGGCCTCAAGCAATCTTCCAGCCTTGGTCTCCCAAAGCATGAGGATGACAGGAGTGAGCCACTGCACCAGGCCACTAATATTTATTCTTAAATGGGCAGCAAGTTTCCCTATATGCTAGCCAGCTCTGTGCTTCTCCTGCTAAACATCCCAAAATTCTGACGTTACTGTCAATGTACTTTTAGGAAAATATTCCTAAATCAGACTGAGTACCAGATTAGCTCATTTTGAGATATTGTGCATAAACTGTATTTTACTAAATATCTTCTAAGACATGCAAGAAGCTGAACTAGCTTTTTATTCTAAGAAAACTCAGACATTTTCAGTGGTTTTGGAAAAAGTGAAGCTCCTAGATCAAATACTCCTAGATTAAAATCTCCTCTTCTGTATCTACCAGCCCGAGTATATAGAACCTCACAGTCAGAATGTAGCTGAGCATGTCCCAGTAGTAAGAAGTTAAAACAACAGGTGTGGTGAGTGAAACCCAACAACGATATCCTCTCCTCCCTATGCCCTCAATTAGCCTGGCTTCAACTTCTGCATCCTTTGGCTCTTGAGACTCTGAGGATAGGAGAGGCAACCTCATTCTTATGTCTGAGACTAGCCCATGGCTGGGTGTCTGCAGGGCTCTGGGGACAGCTTTAGAGAGTCCTGAGAGGGCTGGATCAAGAGTAAGGTCACATGGCTGGGCATGGCGGCTCACGACTGTAATCCTAGCACTTTTGGAGGCTGAGGTGGGCAGACTGCCTGAGGTTAGGAGTTTGAGATCAGCTTGCCCAACATGGCAAAACCCCTTCTCTACAAAAAATTAGCTGGGTATGGTGGCACATGCCTACAGTTCCAGCTACTCGGGAGGGTGAGCCAGTAGAATCATTTGAACCCAGGAGGCAGAGGTTACAGTGAGCCGAGATGGCGCCACTAAACTCCAGCCTCAGCAACAGAGTAAAACTCCATCTCAAAAAAAAAAAAAGGAAGGTCACAAAGAATAACAAAGGGGTGAGAAGAAGGGAAAGCCAAGAGCAAAGGGAGAAGGCCACAAATGAAGAGGTGAGCCCTGGGTCCCATTATCATACAGAATGTCAGAAAAGAATGAAATCTGTAAGAAAATTCCTGATCAAACAGAAGAGAAACAGACTGCTTCACATTCCTGTCTGCTTGTCTTGCAATTAAAGGCAGAATTAACTTGAGAGATGACACGAGAACCAACATTACCTGCTTCTGCAGTGTGGCATCCTTTTCCCTCTCCAGCACCTTAGCAAAAAATACATAAAAACTTTCCTCTATTGGCTGGAAAAGTAATCTGGCCACAAGGGAGCCAAGGTTATTCACTATATCATACACACCTACAAAACGAAAAGGAAGAAACAACAATCATGTTGTTTTTTCCTACTTTAATTTTCACAGCACTATTAAAATTACTTATTTAATATTTTCATTACAGTTTATTTATCTTGAAATAATTATAGATTCATACAGATTTACAAGAAGTAATAGTGGCTGGGCATGCCTATAATCCCAGCACTTTAGGAAGCCAGGGTGGGCAGACTACTTGAGCCCAGCAGTTTGAGATGAGCCTGGGCAACATACAGAAAGCCTGTCTCTACAAAAACAGAAAAAATTAGCCAGGCATGCTGGTGTGCATTTGTAATCCCAGTTATTCAGGAGGCTGAGGTAGGAGGATCACCTGAGGTTGAGGCTACAGTGAGTTGTAATGGTATCACTGCACTCTAGCCTGGGCAAGAGAGTGAGACACTGTCTCAAAAATAAACAAGGGAAGAAAGAAAGAAAAATAATGGAAGTAACAGAGGGATCCCACATACCCTTTACCCAGTGGTAATACTGTGTAAAACTGTAGTACAGTATCACAACCAGGATACCAACATTGATACAGTCAAGACACAGAATGCTTCTAGCAACAGTATTTTCTTACACAGGTCATTAATGCAAAGTTGATGTTTTTCTATTTTATTTCCATTACTTTGGGATTATATTAAAAGATAAATCTAAAAATACTGAAAGACTATCTAGCTACATAAACATGGGACAGATTGAGGCTGTGAGACAGAGCTCCCTTTTCTCCTCTCTTGTCACCTCCCACCCCCAAAACGACCACCAGAGCTCTCAGGAGGCGAACTAAAGGGCCAGGGTTTCACCAGAACACCTGCCACCAAAGTCACATTGGAGGGTATAGTCAGTATGAAGAACAACGATTTCCAGTCTTTAGATGTTCTTTAATCTTCAGGTTCATCTTTCATTAAATATATCACAGAAAAATATTAGGAAGCACCTATTAATAGTATTCACCTTTAATTAAAACACTACAGAATTTCATCTTACCCTGATCACCAAAACTTAGTACGTTAAAAAATGTCATCACATATCGCTCTCCTATAAACAAAAAAGCAAAATAATTAGCATGTCAAATGCACATTAATGTATTGTTCTCTTTCTCTTATCAGCTATCAACTTTTCCAGCTGACAAATGAAGGAAAAATGTTAGATAACAGTTAAAGACATGTCCTTGTCCTAATGTTGATTTCAAATAATCTCAAAGTAACAATTCGGAAAGTGCTGAGGACCTTATTGACAGCAAATCTCCAAGCCAGTTAAATAAAAAATAGTAAAAAAACAAGCCTAACAATATGTTTTTTCAAAAGTATGTGGAGACAATTAAATTTTAATAATGAAAATGATGGTCCCAAGTTTTAAGGGGAGGTCAGATAACCTGAGCATAAATTATCTGTAAAGTGTCCATGATTATATGCACAAGCTTATCCAAAGGTTCCTCAGGGGTGCAAAGAGCTCCCTGGGGCTGGCAAGGCATCAGACTATCTTAGATTTGAATCATGAACTCAGGCTTGATTCAAATCTAAGAGAGTCTAATGCCTTCAAGGTGAAGACACCAGCCAGGGCTTCCATCCCCCTGGCTCATCATAGAAGTTTCTCATCTATGAGGAAAAAATGTTGACCACTGTGGAAAAGGAGCACTAAACAGTGCCCACGCCCTGAAGGGCAAAGTGTCACCTCCTAGTAACTTGCTCAAAAGGAAAGCAGCAAGAGGCTGGAAGCAGTGAGGATCTTCTCTCAAGACTCTCTCCCACCCTGCCTCTCTCTCCAAGCCTCTGCCACTGTTTATGGTGGGACCTCTGCAGGTCCTCACAGGCTTATGTCTCTGTGCTGCTCGGATCCACCATCACTGATAACAGCTCCAGCTTCTGCAAATACGGTTTTCTTTCTTTCTTTCTTTCTTTTTTTTGAGACAGAGTCTCACTCTGTCGTCCAGGCTGGAGTGCAGTGACGTGATCTCGGTTCACTGCAACCTCTGCCTCCTGGGCTTAAGAGATTCTCCAGCCTCAGCCTCCTGAGTAGCTGGGATTAAAGGTGCCCACCACCACGCCTAGCTAATTTTGTGTGTGTGTGTGTATTTTCAGTAGAGATGGGGTTTCACCATGTTGGCCAGGCTGGTTTTGAACTCCTGACCTCAAGTGATTTGCCTGCCTTGGCCTCCCAAAGTACCATGATTACAGGTATGAGCCACCATGTCCAGCCTCAAATACAGCTCTTAAATCAGTTTCTGCTTTCATATCTTTTTTTTTGAGAGTCAGTCTTGCTCTGTCACCCAGACTAGAGTGTGCAGTGGCACGATCTTGGCTCACTACAACCTCCACCTGCCAGACTTAGATTCTCTTGCCTCTGCCTCCTGACCTCATGGGATTCGCCTGCCTTGGCCTCCCAAAGTTCTGGGATTATAGGTGTGAGCCACCACGCTGAGCTTGAAATACAGCTCTTAAATCAATCTCTGCTTTCATATCTTTTTTTTTTTTGAGACAGAGCCTGTTGCCCAGGCTGGAGTGCAGTGGCACGATGTCATTCACTACAACTTCTGCTTCCTGAGTTCAAGTGATTGTCCTGCCTCAGCCTTCTGAGTAGCTGAGATTACAGGCACTCATCACCATGCCCAGCTAATTAAAAACATTTTTTAGTGGAGATGGGGTTTCACCTGACCTCAAGTGATCCACTTGCCTTGGCCTCCCAAAGTGCTGGGATTACAGGTGTGAGCCACCACACCCGGCCTGCTTTCATAATGGATCTTTTCTTACTTTTTTATTTTTTTGAGACATAGTTTCGCTAGTCAGCCAAGCTGGAATGCAACGGTGCAATCTTGGCTCCGTCTTCCAGGTTCAAATGATTCTCCCACCTCAGGCTCCCGTGTAGCTGGGATTACAAGTGCCTGCCACCATGCCATAATTTTTGTATTTTTAGTAGAGATGAGGTTTCGCCATATTAGCCAGGCTGGTGTCCAACTCCTGACCTCAGGTGATCCACCCACCTCAGCCTCCCAAAGTGCTGGGATACAGGTATGAGCCACAATGGCTCTTAGGGTTTGCAAAAAGTCCAGGCTCCTTAATTCTTTTATACACTAACCCCAAGCTATCATTTTGAGGGCTTTTATACACTGACCCCAAGCTATCATTTTGGCCTCCCTTCATCAACCTCACCCTCATCACCCTGTCATCTTCTGCTGCACACTACCTCCCAGGTTTTAGCCCTCCAGCTGCTTTAAGTCAGGCTGGGCCCTCCTTGGCTCTTGGCATTCTCACCATCTAGTCTCTTTTCCGCAGGGCCCTCCCTGTCTTTTGGAGAATAGACCTCCCCTTCCTACACTGTGTAAACTCCCTGAGGGTAGGAGCCCCTCTCAGTCATCTCTATGCTCCTGCTTTCCTAGCAAAGTCTAGGAAATGAGTTTCCAAGTACTACACCCCTCACAGCCCAGTAACAGTTAACCACACAAAGGTGTCTTTGGTGAGAGAATGAAACACTTGAGGCCACGGCATGTTACTTATTCATCTCCGGATTCTCAGCACCTGGCATAGTGTTCAGGAAATGTGGGGGCAGAAGTAACAGCATATACATTTTTGCTACTACAAAAAGTGAGCTCAGTGGCTCATGCCTATAATCCCAGAACTTTGAGAGGCCAAGGCAGGAGGATTGCTTGAGTCCAGGAGTTCAAGACCAGCCTGGGCAACATTATAAGACCCTGCCTCTACAAAAAAATCAAAATATCAGCTAGGCGTGATGGCCGGTGCCTTGCCTGTAGTACCAGCTACTTGGGAGGCTGAGGTGGGAGGATCACTTGAGCCCAAGAGGTCAAGGCTGCAGTGAGCTGTGTCTGTACCACTGCATTCCATCCTGGGTGACAGAGTGAGACCCTGTCTACAAAAACAACAAAACAAACAAAAAAACCCAGGGAATTTCCACTTTTTTAGAGCTGTAGTTTTAAAAATATAAAGAATCTTAGAATCTCAGTCAGGCAACTTCCTTATTTCACAGCCATGGAGACAGAGGCCCTGAGAAGTTCCTAATGGCCCTCTGCCAGTCAGAGGGAGCCAGGCTACGGGGTCCAACCATGGAGCAGGCTCCTGGCACCGCATTCAGGTAGAGTTCTGGAAGCTTTAGTTTGCAGTAAACTTAAACCTGCTGCTGCAAAGACGTATCTAGAGATGTGCTGTCTGCAATCCAGAAAACCAATTTAGGCCATCAACCATTTTGGACTGGATCCATTCCCTCAAACTCATCAAAACTGCTCTTAAAACCCTGGAAGGAAAAAAAGTGCATATGAGCAACTGTCCTTTCCAAAACTCTCTCCGCTGATTGTCCTGTTCTTACAACAACCCGAACTGTCATCATACACCATTTCACAACGGTTACCTTGTGGCTTGTCTTACTTCATTCACAAATACATGCTGAATAGCCCTCCTATGCCAGGTCACAGTGGGGCAGTGGTGAACGGCACACTCCGTGCTCCTCAGGAACTAAGCGCTCAGGCCCTACACTCAGCTCTCCTGAGACGTCTGACCCTCCCTTCCCTGAGAAGTCCTCAGAACAGTTTCATTTTTGTAATAGCAAAGTTATAAGCTTACGCTAGAAACGTGTGTGTACTTTCAAAGATCAGAGAGCCCTCAGACACTGCCTGATCCTATCCCTTGTTCACAGATGGGGAAAGAGAGGTGTAGGGCGAGTTGCTTTCCTTTGGAGACATAATGAACAAAGATACAGATAAGAGGCTGGGCGCTGTCTGTAATCCTAGCACTTTGGGAGGCTGAGGCGGGTGGATCACCTGAGGTTAGGAGTTTGAGACCAGCCTGACCAACAAGGTAAAACCCCGTCTATACTAAAAATACAAAAATTAGCCAGGCATTGTGGCGCATGCCTGTAGTCCCAGCTACACAGGAGGCTGAGACAGGAGAATTGCTTGAATCCAGGAGGTGAAGGTTGCAGTGAGCTAAGATAATAACAGTTGTATTAAAATGCCAGTATTATTTTTTCTGTTTTCTTATTTTTTCTAATGTGACTATATTTGATAATTAAAAGATAATTTTGAAAAGATTAAAAAATACATTTAGTAATAGGCATATGAATATGAAATGTGTATGCACAGAGAAACTACTAACTTCAGCAACTTACAGCTGCCTTAAAATCTCATTTTTTAAATTAAAGCTAGGTACAAATAAACCAACACATATATACACAAAAACTAAATGTGCTTCCAGCCCCTTGCTGGCCCTCCACATTGAGAGCTCTGTCACTGGCAAACTAGAATGACCGAAGTCTGACCATGCTCTCAAACAGGTGCATTTTGTTGTTTAAGAAAATAAATCCAACATTAGAGAATTGACATAATTTTAAAAAAGAAGAAAATAAAATGATATAAGTGGGTGATATAAAATGATAAAATGCTTTAATGCAACGGATATAATACTCTTATAATACATTCATAAGGATCATATAACATGGGGTTTGGAGTTAGACCTGGATCCCAGTTAAGCTTTTCCTTGTTACTGTAAAACCCTGAAGAAGTTCTGCAACCTCACTGACCCTCAGTTTCCTCATCCATGATGAAGGGGAACAACATCTTTCTTACAAGGCTATGGAGAGCTTTAAATTAGACAACCTAAGTAAAGCATAAAACTACATAGAGGTTGGTTTCTCTCTCTGTGTTAAGCCCTGTCCTCCCATTTCTGAAGTTCTTTTGCCCCAGAGGCTCTGTGGTCTGGACCCAGGTAATCGGCAGTCCTGTGAAATCCCCTTCTACTACAGTCTCCTGACCATTCAGAGTGTCCTTGTACTTACCTTCTGTCAAAATCTGTTTCAAGAAAGACTGTTTGAAAAAACTCCAAGTCAGTTTAGCCTCTTTCCAGTTTATAATAGCCTAGAACAGAAAACAAAACAAAACAAAAATATCACAGGCATTGCAAGTGTAAGAACACAATGCTACATGAGAGGCAAAGGCATTCTGGTCCCTAAATCCCAACCTGGAGAGTCTCCACTGAACCCTCATTCAATGCTAAGCACACAGAAGGCATCCTACAAACACTGGGGAAGAATTTACATCACTAAACACAAAGCCAAATTCTGTAAGGGCCTGCCCAAGACTCATATACTGACACCCCTAAAGAACTGCTGCTATCCCACAGTTAACACATACAGCTCACAGTCTGTTCTTTCCTTAAAAAGTGTCTAAAGCATGCTGAGCTGCAGAACAAATTCTGCTCCATCTACTGCACATCATAATGCTATGTTCAGCCATTCAGCCATCCGGGGCCCTTTTCCACAAGGGAAAAGGAGCTGCCCTTCCATATTTAAAAAAAAATTAACTTTCCCAGGTCAGGTAAACCACTCAGAATGGATATGACAGAGGAATGGAGAAAATAAAATTTTTGATATGACTCTTCTAAAACTCCAGGCTGGGCACGGTGGCTCATGCCTATGATCCCAATACTTTGGGAGGCCGAGGTGGGTGGATCGCTTGAGCCAGGAGCTTGAGACCAGCCTGGCCAACATGGGAAAAACCCCATCTCTACTAAAAATACAAAAATTAGCTGGGTGTGGTGGTATGTGCCTGTAATCCCAGCTACTTGGGAGGCTGAGGCACAAGAATCACTTGAACCTGGAAGGTGGAGGTTGCAGTGAGCTGAGATGGCACCACTGTACTCAGCCTGGCGACAGATCGAGAATTTGGCTCAAAGAGAGAGAGAGAGAGAGAGAGAGAGAGAGAAAGATAGATCTATCTTCCAGTGGGCACCAAATGGCCACTTTCTGAGAACAAGGAAACATTTAGGTAGGGCAGAGATCAACCTGTAAGAGACAGGTGGCCTCAGAGCCAGGGAGCTGAACACAAAATAGGAGAGCAAGGCAGCCAGGGGGCTCAGTATCCTCTGACTCCTATTTTTCTACCTTCCACAGTTCCCTCTGGGGCCCCCTCCTCTATCTTGTAGGCACCCTGGGATCCCAGAATATTTAGACTGAGTGTTAAGTTTTTTGTTTGTTTGTTTTAGAAACAGGGTCTCGCTCTATCACCCAGGCTGGAATGCAGTGGTGTGATCATAGCTCACTATAACCTGGACTCAAGCCATCTTCCTGCCTCAGCCTCCAGAATAGCTGGGACTATAGGTGTGTGCCACCATGCCCAGCTCATTTTAAAAATTGTAGAGATAAGTGTCTTGCTGCATTGCCCAGGCTTGTCTCAAACTCCTGGCCTCAAGTGATCCTCCCACCTTGGCTCCCAAAGTACTGGGATTACGGGCGTGAGCCATCCCATGTTGATGTTAGGTTCTTAATCGTAGGGTACTTGCATTTTGAAAAGTTGTGATTATCTAAAGTGAAGACTTTTGAATGGGAGGATTTCAGAGGGCTTTTTGGGAGGGGAGGGCTGAATCACAAAGGCCAAGTGCACTCTACCTCTGCCAAAGGTCAGCCACAGCTCTGGAAGTCGGCCCAAGGGCAGGCCTAAAGCCTGCCTCGGTCATGTGGGCCCGTTCTGGGCACAAAGCCCAACTGTGAAGAGCAATGCTATTCAGTAGGAATGTAATGTGAAATTTTCTAGCAGCCACAGTTCACAGGAAGAAAAAAAAAACAGGTGAAATTAATTTTAATATATTTTATTTAACTAAAATATTATCATTTCAACAAGTAATCCATATAAGAAATATTTTCTTCATATTGAGACTTTGAAATCCAGTATGTATTTTACATTTACGGCTCATCTCAATTCAGACTATCCAGATTCCAGAATGCTCTATAGCCACACGTGGCTAGTGGCTAACATTTAGGACTGGGCAAGTCTAGAGCACCTCTGAAAGCAAGGGTCACGTCTAGTCCCCATTCTCCTTACCCCTTGGTTTCTGAACCTTTTATCCAGACACAGGGATCACAAATCTGAATCCTCCCAAACTATGCTGCCCTCAGGGAATCAGAGACTCAGAGCAGATGCCAGGATATCTCTTTAGCCTGGGAGTAAATCTTCCCTGATGAGAAGGAAATTGGGCTGCAAGATGTTTAAAACCAGGCCGTCTCCTTTCCCTGGAACAAAGAGCAGCAGACAATTTCCCACCACTAGGGGGCACAGGGGACCATGTCACCTTCAGACTTGGATTCTGACCACTGCTGGCTTCAGCACCTTCTCTCACTCACACTGTTCCCCACCCCTTGCCATGCCGCGGTGGTCCTCCCAGGGGTCAGCAAAGCAGAACCTGTCCTCTTTTAAAAGGAAACAAAGGCTGTTGCTCGTCATGAGGCTCCCTTGACACCTGCTTGCCTGCAGGTTGTGAATGGATTTGGGAAGATGATTGAGCTCTTAAAACACAAAGTGCTTTGGGAGAGTGAAATCATGATGGTGTACCTAATCTGAAGATATCATACTTGATTTTCTTAATGCCTTTGGTTTAAACGGGCCTGTGGTTCAGAAGGAATGGCCACACCACTTACTAAAGTGCTCATAAGGACACAGAGGCAGGAAATCCAATCTGAGATGTGGCTTCTCCAGGCAGGGGCTGAGTGGCGGAAGAGAGGAAGCATGTGGTAGAGTTTTACCATCCTACTCAGAATGGAGGTTAATAATGGAGGTTCATTTGGGGCGATCAAAAGAGGCCTATTTTACAATAGCTGGGTTGGTACTGATGAGCTGATCTACATAGCTGGGAATTTCCCTGGAATGCCCTGACCAATAAGCCATTCCACTGCCTTACTGTACTGATGGAGAAACAGAAGGCTGGGGTGGTAAAGGTGATGGACGGTAACTTGGGGGAAGATCTGGAATCAGAACTTAGAGGCTCATCACACTTCCACCTGAGTCACTCATCAACTTTCCAAACTCTTCTGACTCAGGACGATCTGATCAGCCACATCCTTACCACAATGACAAGAGTCACTGGGGAGTGTGAGGCTACCTACCATCCTGTCCCCTGCCCTCCATCACTTCCTCCACCCTACACAGCACTCCTTCCTCTCCCTCTTGCTCCACCTATCCTAGTCACTCTGGGGCTGTGGCTGCTGCCCCAGCTTTGTCCATCTGCCCACTTTCATCCATCCTTCCTCTGTCCTCACTCCTCACCTGGATAATTGCACAGGCTCCCAATGAGTTTTTTGCCTCCTACCCTTTCTCTAGCCTATCCTTCTCATTGAAAATTCAAACTTTGGAGTCAAGCTTGGAGACTGGGGCTCAACCTGCAGCTCCTTGACTTATTACGGTAAATGCTGTGGACAAGATACTTAACTTTGCTAAGCCTTGGTTTTCTCATCTGCAAAATGGGATAAGAAGTCCTATCTCATGGAGCCAGTGTGAGGATTGAATGAAAACAAAAAAATGAGACACTGTAACTCTATAAGAGATGGCAAACTCCTCAATATAGGAAGTTCGATCATAGCACTGTTCAAAAACCTTTCATGGGTGGGGGGGTGATCAGAGAAAAAAAAAAAACCCTTTCATTTGGCTCCACTGCCCCTGAATTAAGCCCAGGCTCCATAGCATGAGGCCACTACCACCTGACCCTAGCCTGGCAGTCAGGTTTACCTCCCTTTATAACTTTCTGCCACCTTTGCTTTCCTTTTCCCAATTGTCCATCCAACCTAAGTACCCCAGTTATCCAACACAATCATGGCCAGATAACAAGCACTGAGCAACTTTTCTTTCTTTCTCTGGTCACGAATGCCCATCTCTACCACACATATCCATTTAACCTCTGCCCATCCATGTGTCAAAGTCCACACAAAAGAAGCTTCCTCCATGAAGCCTTCCTTGATGTTCCTTGATGGAATTCAGCAGTCCTTCCTCTGTGCTTCTATTTTGATAACGCTAGACACGCACTGTCCTGTAGCATAGTTAGTTGAGCAAGCATCCTATCTGTCCATCACCATGCAAGTTCTGAGGGTAGGGGCCTCACTCAGGGCACCCGGGACAGTGCTTAACATATAATAATGCTTCATACATGCTTGCTGAGCCAAATTCCTCAGCTTTACTTAAATATTAGCATATCTCTCATATTAAATCCCTCAGAAATGTCAATGATTATAAACGGAAGCCATTATTTGAAGTATCACATTAATTTGTTATAAGGTTAAATAAAGAAGATGGAAATCTACAAGAACGGGAAGGGAAATTTCACAATTAGGTCAAATTGATAGTAAATACAATTATTTGACCAGTTTCCACTAAGGGAGTCCCCAGTGTAGAAAGCTGTTCCGGGGAGCCAAGTCAGGCATTCTGCCCATGGTAAAGTCATACGCTGCATTCATGCATTCAGAATCATCTCATTTCTTTTACTTTTTTTCATTTTTCATTTTTTTCTTCTTTGAGACAGGGTTTTGCTCTGTTGCCCAGACTAAAGGGCAGTAGCATGAACAGCTTACTGCAGCCTCCAGGGCTCAACCGATCCCTCCTGCCCCAGCCTGAGTAGCAAGGATCACAGGCATGTGCCACTGTGCCCAGCTAATTTTTACATTTTTTTGTAGAGAGGGGTTCTTACCATGTTTCCCAGGCTGGTCTCAAACACCTGGGCTCAAGCAATCCTCCCACTTCAGTCTCCCAAAGTGCTGAGATTACAGGCTTGCGCCACCATACCCGGCCTCTTTTTTCTTTTTAAAATAATAAGCCTGAATTATGAATTGTTCCACCTGGAACTTCCTAATCTTTATGTAAACAGTAACTACTATGGGCAATAAGCCAATTTCTTTTGGAAGACTACATAACATCAGGGTAAACCACAGCCTAAAGCTAGTCCGCAGCAAAAGGTGGAGAGAAGTGGGTCCAAAACCAGCTATGTGATTTTCGGTTAGTCACTTAACTCCTCTGAACCTCAGTGTTCTTTTCTGCAAGATGGAGATAACAGTATTCATCACCTACGTAACTATGAGAATGAAAGACGAAATCCATGCAAAGTGCTTGGCATAGTGCATGGCACAAAACATGCAGTCAATAGCAGTTATTGTAAATGGCTCTCTGTCAACGTTCAAATATTTCATGGAACTCCTGAAGTCTTCAGAGCGGCCTCACAGGTCACGTAGGCCAACAATCTCACTTTAAAAATGAAGACCCTGAGGTCTGGCGAGAGTCCCACAGGCTTCAGAGCTATACCTGCTGCCTCTCAAGTCCACAGGAAGCTCCCTGAGGCCCAGGAATCACCTCTCCTACATGTCTGTATCCCTGATGGCATCAAGCACGGCACCACTTTCTTACTGTATGTCAGTGGTAATAGGATCACTATATATGACAGGTACACACAGCCTTCTCATGATCAGGGCTTGGGTCCTTGCAATCTGGGCATGGGTACTTTCAGGGCATATTACCAGACTGAACCGCTGAGCTCCCATACCAATGCCATCAGCGCTGCCTGGCTAGGGTGCCCCTGGGGAGGCGGCTCTGCTCGCAAAGCATCAGTGTGATGGAGGTGGTATCTGCTGTCACTTAAGGATACCCATTTGTGCCAGGCCACATTGTTAAGACTACATGTCCCAACTCATCGGGCCCTCGAAACAACCTTAGGAGGGAGGTACTATTATTATCCCCATTTGACAGATAAGGAAACTAACCTTAGAGTTCTGAGCTCATCACAGGTTTTTATTTATTTATTTATTTATTTGAGACAGGGTCTCACTCTGCTGCCCAGGCTGAAGTGCAGTGGCACAATCATGACTCGCTGAAGCCTTAACCTGGGCTCAAGCACCCTCCCACCTCAGCCTCCTGAGTAGCTGGGACTACAAGTGCACACCACCACACCCGGCTAATTAAAAAAATGTTTTTTGTAGAGACAGTCTTGCCATGTTGCTCAGGTTGGCCACCACGGGGCTTAACAGACATTTGGCAGACTCTTTACCTTGTCTCTTTGCTTATGCTAATGGTTCAAATGCTCCTTCCCAAAATACTGCTGGGGCACAGGGACAGGCCCAGTATGAAATGCTGCCAGGCTTGGTACAGGTGGACACCAGGGGGCACTCAGAAGAAGAACTCTTCTGTACTCTTGAACCTGCTCTGGGGGAAGGTGGCAGAAACTCTAGGCAAGAGAAGCGATCCTGAGTCCTAACCATCTAAGCCTGTAGGTGAGGCACAGTGGTATCCGAAACTGTCCTGTTGGTTTAGGTTACAGGTGAAATTTAGCTGAGTAGAATGGAGAATCCTTTTCTCACAAATGAGAACATATCTGGCATTGATACATAGTATCTAGTTTTTCTTGAAAAGTTGTACAACAGGATTCCATAAAGTCTGAGACTTATGTCTCACATATTTCACTACTTTTTCAAGTATCACAAGAGAAATAAGGAGAAACCCAGCATATGCCTTACCACAGCCAAGTACACTGCATCTGGCAAGCAAACACGCAAGGAAAGAGGGGAAGTGCCCAGAATAGAGGAGCTCATGAAGCATCTTGGTAGAGGCAATGGGGTAATATCACGAGTATTACCAGTGGCATGGGCAGCAGCGCTGACCCCAGAGGAGCCAGAAAATCAAAGTCCAATGGCCTGAGAGTGAAGGAATTGAGTAGAAAAGATGATGCTTTACTCCACATGTCAGCTGTAGAATCCACAGTGGTCTAGGTGGAAAAGTATATCACCTGAAAGACTAGGCTGACACTGAGATCAAGAGACCATGTGGAGCCGGGTGGGGTGGCTCATGATCCCAGCACTTTGGGAGGCTGAAGTGGGAGGATTACTTGAACTCAGGAGTTCAACACTAGCCTGGACAACATAGTGAGACCCTCTCTCTCAAAAAAAAAATTTTTTTTAATTAGCTGAGCATGGTGGCTAGTACCTGTAGTCCTAGCTACTTGGGAGATTGAGGCAGGAGGATCACTTGACACCAGGGGGTCAAGGCTGTAGTGAGCTATGATCATGCCACTCTGGACAGTAAAATGAGACACTGTCTCAATGCAAAAAAAAAAGGGACCATGTTGGGTTCATCCTACTTTCTCAGAACTCTCAACTATCTGTGCTAGAAGTCAACTGAGGAGAGAAACCAAAACCACAGCAGACTAGAAAGAGTGGAGCACAGTGGTACAGCCTGCACCCTGCTGGCATGTGAGCCTTTCCAGGCTCCTGTCCTTATCCTGACCCTCACCTGGGACAGGTATTTTATTCACTAAGCTTTAGTTTCTCAACCCTAAAACAGAAACAGTGTCAGCCTTTCAGAGTTGGTATAAGCATTAAATAAGGCAGGTAAAGCATTCAGCATAGGGTCTAGCACAATGGATCTCAACTGGGGGCAATGTTGTCCCCCAGGGGACATTTGGCAATGTCTGCAGACATTTTGGGGTGCTCCACTGAGGGGGGGTTGCTACTGGCATCTATCCACTAGGCTGCTGCTAAACATCCTACAATGCACAGGACAGCCCCTTCGACAAAGAATTGAGAGCCCAAAATGTCCACAGTGCTAAGATTTAGAAACCCTGGCCTGGCATACAGCAAGCACTCCATAAATATGAGCTATAAAATTATATTTATGATTATAACAATAAACCAGTGGCAGTTTCTTTCTCTCGAGGATAAGCAGCACCTATGATAAGAGATAAAATGTCTTACTTACTCCATTTCTTGTAATATTGGGTAACAGATCTGTTATTCTGGAGACAGGAAGAGTTTGAAGCTTGGTTGATTCTGGGGAACCCAGCAACTTTGTGAAATAAATAACATAGCAGAGCACCAGAACTGTGGTATAGAAAAGCTGATTAAAAAAAAAAAAAACTGTTTAAATAAAGGCATAATTAAGATATGGCTATAAATTTGATCTCAAAGGCCAATCAAGTAATACAACTCTCTGATTAACAGCATTTTCTTTATTTTATTTTTGAGACAGAGTCTCTCTCTGTCACCCAGGCTGGAGTGCAGTGGCTTAATCTCAGCTCACTGCAACCTCTGCCTCCTGGGTTCAAGCAATTCTCTTGCCTCAGCCTCCTGAGTAGCTGGGACTACAAGGTACACACCACCAAGCCCAGCTAATTCTTTGTATTTTTTTAAGTAGAGACAGGGTTTCACTATGTTGCTCAGGCTGGTCAAAAACTCCTGAACTCAGGCAATCCGCCTGCCTCGGCCTCCCAAAGTGCTGGGATTACAGGTATGAGCCACCTCGCCCAGCCAATTCACTGCACTTTCTATTCAGCAATGCCTCACCCTCTGGGAAACAGCACTATTCACTTACCTCCACTGCAGCATCTGCCTGCAAAGTGCTCCCAAGACTTCACTTAAATGGGGGAACATAATCCGTCTGGGCAGGCAGAATGTAATTTCCATAACAGATATCCACTAGCTCAATTACCAGAGCAATGTCCAATACATTCAAAAAAGATGTGTATTTGGCCAAATGAACGGCTCTCCCACCTAGTCAGCATACTGCAAAGATCCACGTATCCTGACTGTGCTAATACCCAAGGACTTGCCATCATCCAGGACTGTGGGTTTTCCATAAACCCCGGAAACCTGTGCCATTAATGATTACAAGGCACAATTGAGCTGCTGGCTCTCTCCTCTTCCCCAGTGCAAGAGCTACAACAGATGGGGAGGAAAGGGTGGGGTGATAAGAGGGCCCACCCCTCCCTCCACCCACCCAGGACAAAAGAATGGCTTCCGGCCAGGAGCAGCCAAATGGGTTTTGTTTGCAGATTGAGGAGGAAAATTCAAAAGAGCCCCTTTTCACAAGCTCCCTTCAGCCCTCTTTCCCTCCTCACAGCAGTGCACACTGGTTCAAGAAAGACTGGGACCTCCAGCTTGCTTTCAACCTGGCAATACCAAGGCTGCTTCTGTAGTAAAGGCACCGGGCAAGGAGAAAGAAGAGTCTCAGTTTAGCAGGTGTGGGCTCCTCTGCTCTCCACTCCCCACCAAGCCTGAGACGGAGCCCATGATCCACCAGCCTTCTTTCTTTATGCTCCAAGCCCTTCAAACTCCAGCAGCACTGCTGGGAGCCACACTGCTTGGTGCCAGTGTCCTCTGTGAGAAGTACCCTTTATTTAAAACACTACTAAGAATCTTAATTTATCTTTAACTTTAGCCTAGCCTACCTGACAAATTTCAAGTGGCTGAACTTAACTGATTATGTTACCTTTTTCTAAACACATTTTTAGGGGCAAGTCTGGAAAAATCATTAATGAAAACTACAACTGCTTTGCACTGTAAGATGTCTAGTAACTATCTGATCTTAATTTTAAAAATAGCAGTTGTACTCTAGTTATATTTTTATTAGAACTAGAAATATGAATGAGAACTAGGAAATAATGAGATGGAAATGAAGCCTAAATTGCTAAAACAGAAAATATACCTACTCTGACTTGATTCACGAACTCTGAATTATGGGAGATTTCAATCTAAGTTTAAAACAGGCTTGGCAGAGTTTCCACCTATTCTGCAAAAAACTGATGGAAATCCAGAGAAAATAATACACATGCTATGTGATCCCCACCCCACCCCCCACTGCTTTTTTTCCCCTTCACAGGACTATCAGACGACCAAAGATCAGTTTGATACAGACTTGCCCACTGAATGGACCTGGCAGCCAGAGAAGCAGTGTCAAGGCCACCCTTCCAGCGCTTCCACCCCCTGCACAGGCATGGGTCCTGCAAATGCAAACGACACAGCGGCGGGAACAAGAAGAAAAACCAGTTGGAGAGACAAAGATTATATAAAAAGATAAAATCCATGATTCTTACCTGGGCCAAAGAGAAAATGTATAATCCCCAGTGAGGCAACCACAGCACGAGAAAAACCGTCAGAACACTCTTAAGAACTACCGACAGGCTCTCAGCAATCACCTGCAAACACGGTCAAGGTGCAATTACAAACACTACCAAAAAGTCAAGATGTAATGGAATGACACACAGAAAATCCAGGGCAGTGGTTACCCTGGCTAGGGGGGCGAGGCACACAGCTGGAAATAAGTATCGGTAATGTTTCACTTTTTGGGTAGGGTGGTGGGTTCACGGATCTTTCAGTATACTCTGCTTTAAGATTTATATTATATATATATTCTTTTGTAATCTGTTATAAAAGATGAAGAGAGAAAAATTAGTATTAGTATAAAATCACTAGAAAAATATGAAAAGCCTTTAAGGTCTTTCTAAATTCTGACTTCAACTAATAATTTATTAGCAAACCTGTTTTTTATTTAGGGTAAAACAGGGGTGAACTTTAGCCTAGCCTACCTGACAAATTTCAAGTGGCTGAGCTTAACTGATTATGCTATATTTTTCTAAAAACATTTTTAGGTGCAAGCCTGGAAAAATCATTCTGTCCTATAAAAGCATTTTTTTAAAACAACACTCCTTTTTATTCTTCCCATTTCCCATTTACAGCACACGGCGCACTGACCTTGAGCTTCACAAACATATGTGCTTGTGCCAAAAACCAAAAGGGCTCTCCCAGAAGCTCCACCACTGCCGAGAGACCAAACAGCACCACTCCGGCTGCATAGTGAGGGGCGACATTAGGATCAGGCACTTCCAGCAGCTGCAACCAGACCAAGCCCAGGAATAAGGACCAAAGCACACCCAGGGGAGCTCTGGAAGAGCAGAAAAAAATAATTCACTAAATTTTAAAACAAATATAAATATACATTAAAATAGTAACACTGAACAGAAAAAAAATAGTTAGCATACAGCTACCATTTATTTATTAAGATACTAACTACATCACAGGCACTATGATTCATGCCCCTTATCTTACTGACACCTCACAATGATCCTCTGTCATCAACCCCATTAAAAAGATGAGGAAACAGTGGCTGACAGGCACTAGGCAATTTGGTCAAGGTCATGAACAGCAATCAAGAGCAGAAGCAAGACATAATCCTGCCGTAACTCCAAAGCCTACACTTGTAGCCACTGGGTTACACATATTGACTTCATAAGCAAAATTCCCAGAAAGAAAATGCCTGTTGTCAAAATGATTGACGGACTGTATACAGCTGTTCCTTGCATCCCAAATAACCAATAGAGCAGTGCTCAGTATCCTTTCACATATTTCACATGTGTACCACAGGGCACTTAAATATGACTGAGTGGTTACCAGTTGTTCCTCTAATAAAATGAACACCTACCAGCCCTCATAACAGTCATTTCTGTGAGGCAATAAGGAGTGATGCAAGGGCAGCATTGGGAAACAACCTCAATCCCCAGCCCTCCGTGCAGGGACCTAGCTGGAGAAAAGCTAATGTAATTTTAAGCTAATGTACTTGATCTTTGAGAATATCCTAAAAGACTCAGAACTGAAGTAACATAACAAAATTGAAGGAAAAATGTAATGAAACCCATAAAAGGCTTTCAAGAAATACTAAACCTAAGTGGTTGCTAAAAGCTCAAAAGATACTACAGAGCAAAAAGATTAGGAATAAAAAAGATGGCACAGGCCAAGTGGAACCCAAGAGTGGTGATCAGAAACAGCAAGAAACAACCTCCAAAGAGGATGGAACCAGGGCTAGAAACCTGGCCCAGAAACCGCAACCCAGAACCTCTTCCCGGCTCCTGGACATCAGAAAGAAAATGAGCCAAGAAGCTTCTTTGACACAAACACTCTCCCCTTCCTGTTTTATGCCTGTCCCTGAGAAAGCTACTGAGAAACTGAATCTGTTGGCAACTCAGCTTTAGGCACGTGTTAATGTTTCATTTCCAATGCTCACTACACCTGCCTTCCTGAAATGTGTCTCTTGTCAAAGCACAACTCACGTTAGCCATAGCAGGTTGAGGGTCTGGCTCCAGTCTCGCTGTGTGCTCCCACTGAGACATGCTCTGCGGAAGGCCTCTCTGGCCAGGAAGAGGGTGGTTGAATAAAGCAGCGTTAGTCTGTAAATGAAAGGCAGAAACCAGTAAGGTCTCAAATTTTTTCATAGAGAGAACTTCTGGGATTGTTCCAGCAACAGGGAGGAGATAAAGTATTGGTTATAAACCACCGTGGTGATGTGGAGGGCAGTGGGCTCTTAAAGGACCCCCATATGGGTCTCATCCATGAGAACTACTGAGTTAGGAACCAAATGAAAGACATGTGAGTGTGTGTGCCTACAGTTACATGAAGGATAGAAACTGCTGCAGTAGTCTCAAAAGCCTGTACCCTTTGTGGCTATAGGCAGAGGTGTGGCCATGACCACAAGGAGGAGAAGAGGAGAAGATTATAACCCCACCCTTCTGGGTCATGCTGACACGAAGGACTGATAGCCCCTGTGAGAAAAGCTGAGTCTTTACCGAGTGGAGGCTCTGGCAAAAAGAATGTTAAGACAGGCAATCAGGCTGACAACCATTACAGGGGCTGCTGCAACCCAGGTCAGCAAGGCTTGCCTGGGTACCTCCCAGGCGGGCAGCACCTGGGTGAGCCTTCCTGCACCTTAGTGAGGAGGAGCTGAGATGTCCGCTCCTCATGAGGCAGCAGTCTTGGTGAAGCCAGAGTGGGGACAGCCCAGGGTTAAGGTCTCTGAGGTTGTCCAAGGATTATCCTGCTACCCAGTGCCTCTGTGGAACACTGCAAATAAGGAGATGGAATCAAACCTTAAGCAGAGGGCTAGGGCAGGCCAGACAAGGGCTGTCGAAACAGGGACCTGTCAATCTTAGGAAGGCTGCCTGGGGAGAAAAATCTGAGCCCTTAAGAGGATTTGGCTCTTCCTTCCTGCTTTTAAAACAGTATTTCTTAGCACCAGTTGCCTGTATTCCTCAGGTTCATGCCTATAATACCAGCACTTTGGGAGGCTACCGTGGGAGGATCGCTTGAGCCCAGGAGTTCAAGACCAGCCTGGGAAACACAGTAAGACATCATCTTTACAAAAAAATCAAAAAACTATTCAGGTGGGGTGATGCACACCTGTAGTCCCAGCTGCTCAGGGGGCTGACATGGGAACATTGCTTGAGCCTAAGAGGTCAAGGCTACAGTGAACCATGATGGCATCAATGCACTCCAGCCTGGATGACAGAGCAAAAACCTGTCTCAAAGAAGAGGGTGAAGAAGAGAAAAAGAAAACAGCATTTCTCGAAGAACAGTCCCTGCTTCAAAATCACTTAAGGAGCTTGTAAAAATGCAGATTTCTGGGCCCTTCTTCAGCACTACGTAGTGCAAAACTCCATAGATGACTCCTTTGCTCAAAGCTTGAGTCCTGCCACTAAGCTCTGAGACCCTCGCCAAGAGCCTGTTTGGTAGGTATCAGACATGAAATGCTTTCTAGAACATACATACTGTCTTATTTATTAGGACATAAAGACATACCTGAGAAGCTGAGCTATTCTGAGCACTCACATCATTTTATGTACTTTGTGTCATTTGTGAAGACAAAATATGTGTGGGTGTCCTTGAACAGAAAGGAGGCGAGTGGAAGAAATGAGCTGAGTCTAAAAGACAAAGAAGTCGTCTTTCCAAGAGCCTCCAAAAAACGAATGACAAAGACTCAAGCTCGATCCCAGCTGCCGTAACCCAATTATAAAATCACTGAGGAAGGGAAGGAAGGTGGCTGCTCCAGCCCTGCAATTATGAAGTGTATCCTCACCAACGGCAGAATTTCTGCTTCCTTTGCTGTCAGCAGGACAAGAACACAGGATTATACCTGAGGGGGAGTTTTTAATGAATTACTCCCACTCTTCTTCTTCCTGAGATCCAAGAGCAGGAAAACCAGAGCAGCCGGCAGAGAAATGTGCATTTGGAGGCTGCTAATGGAAAACACTCAATGGGTCCATGAAAAGCAATGTTGTCTGTGCATCCCTCCTCCCTGGCACGCTTCTCCTTAGCCCACTGCTAAAACATTCTGCTTCTGGTAAAGGTCCATGCTTCTAACATGGATGACATACAGGTACAGAGTTTGAAGAAAGGCTGGCTAGGAATGTGAACCGTGACAGTGCCAGGGTGCCTCTCCTCCTACCTTACATTTACTACGCCAACGATCTCCTTTGACAGGAAGCGAAGAATAAATGCATTCAAGACAAAGGTGATCAACCGAAACAACACCTAGAGAAACAGAAGAAAAATACATAAGAATAAATGACGTTAGGAGTGTTTACTTTGCTGAAATGAGAACAATATGGCTGGTCTTCCTAACGTGATGTAATGACACATAGCAGCTTTGTGAGAGACTCTCCTCTAAGACGCTCAACCTGTATGCGTTTCTCCTGAATTTCCATTCCTTCGGATCTCTCAGCACTCCTGTGCAGTGCTCAGAGAACCTAGGAAGGCACTTGGAAGGCTTCCTAATTTATTAATAACAAGAAAGAGAGACTCACTGAGTTTCTACAGGTTCAAAGTCAAGCCCTTGAGGAAGCAGAAAGAGAATTCTAGTCAGTGCCAGCCCCCTAGTCAACTCCCAACCACCAGCCCTGTTTAGAAAAAGCACACACTTAGCAAGTGGGAGCCTTAAAAACGAAAGAAAAGAAAAAAAAGCAAGTGGGAGCCTCAAGGGTATAGCAGACTCACCACAAATCATAGGGCCTAATTTCTCTTTTCTTCTCTGCCTCGTAATATCTAGGATTTTCAATAAGGACATTTAATCATTCTGAACTTCAGTTTTCTCAGTTAGAAAACAGAAAATGTATTTTATTGAATTCTTGTCTCTTTCCAGCGAGAAGCTGAAATACCTTTTAAATGATGCTGCAAAAATAAGATAGCATAACACAGGGGGGAAGAGAGACAGAGTCCAGTTATTGTCGCTTGAAAGGGACATATCCTGAGACTTTCCAACCTGTCAATTCAAGAAAACCACCTAAGCAAAGAACTTTCCCCATGAAACACAGAGAACAAGAAGACTGTAATTAAACAGGGCTGCTAAATGGGGATGCTGGGAAGAGTCAAACCTCATTCACTAAATGACTCCCTCCTGCATCCCAGCAGCAAATGAAAATCACTTCTGTGTTAAACACCCTCAGAGTTATCTGTGAAGAGCTGCAATTTGGAAGATTTGATCTAGGCATATCAATGGACTACTGTGGACTGGAAATCTCTGGGGACAGGTATGACTAAATAGGGAGAGTGTATAACACTGTATCTAAAGTGTCACAGAGCAGCAAGGTCTCCAAAGCCAAGAAATCACCATCTTAACCTTTATGGAGTCAAAGGTGATCTTTTGAGTCTGATGACAGCTCTGTAGCTGCTCCTTAGAAACATGCAGATATAGCTGGGCATGGTGGCTTACGCCTGTAATCCCAGAACTTTGGGAGGCCAAGGGCGGTAGATTGCCTGAGGTCAGGAGTTTGAGACCAGCCAGACTAACATAGTGAAACCCCACCTCTACTAAAAATACTATTCACCATTTAGCTCTTCGATCTGTTATTTTCTCATTTTTATAAGCCTCAATGTCCTCTGTCAGATGAGATGACCTATTTTTCTAATTGTTATAAGCCTCAACGTCCTCTGTCAGATGAGATGACCTATCACATAGGATTGATTATAAGGATCAGAAGAGACTGTAGGGCCAGGTACAGTGGCTCATGCCTATAATCTCAACACTTTGGGAGGCTGAAAGGTAGGAGGGTCACTTGAAGCCAGGAATTTGAGACTGGCCTGGGCAAAACAACAAGACCTCATCTCTACAAAAAATATTTTTAAAAGAAATGAGACTGCAGAAGTGAAAGCATTTTTTAAAATACATACAAATGAAAGGCATTAATACTTTTGGCATGACTGGCTCAGAATTAAGATAGAATAAGTTCTCTGTACTACCTTGAGCTTTGTTTCAAAAAAGAAAAAAGAAAAAAAAAGATAGAATAAGCTCTCAAATTCTTGAAGAATAAAATGTAACTGCAAAGCTACCTGGTGTCTACAATTTGAGAAAGCATACAAAAATGAAAACACTCAAGAAACCATATAAAAATATGGTTATTAAAAAAAAAAAGTCCAGGAATGGTAGCTCGCACCTATAATGCCAGTACTTTGAGAGGCTGAGGCAGGCAGATCACCTGAGGTCAGGAGTTCGAGGCCAGCCTGGCCAACATGGTAAGACCCCATCTCTAATAAAAATGCAAAAATTAGCCAGGTGTGGTGGCAGGTGCCTATAATCCCAGCTACTTGGGAGGCTGAGGCAGGAGAATTGCTTGAGCCCAGGAGGCAGAGGCTGCAGTGAGCTGAGATTGTGCTACTACACTCCAGCCTGGGCAACAGAGTGTGAGACTCCATCTCAAAACCAAAAAGCAAAAATAAGAAACCATGTGTACACACTTATGTTCACCTCAAAGTTATCATTGTCTAAGAAGCTTAATGTTTCCTCTTTCCTAATTAGTAATCCATATTTCCTAATTGGTTTGAATAAATGTTGGCACGAATAAAGCTGAGGTTGCTCGTGCCACCCAGCATTTGCCACACACTCTAGCCCTTATTAGCAACACAGTCTTCATTTACTTCTGCAAAGGACTTGACAGCTTTTGTTTTGAGACAGGGTCTCACTCGACTGTCCAGGCTGGAGTGCAGTGGCATTATCACGGCTCGCTCTGGTCTCAACCTCCCAGGCTCAAGATCCTCCCACCTCAGTCTCCTGAGTTGCTGGGACTACAAATGCGCACCACTATGCCTGCCTAATTTTTGTATTTTTTGGAGAGACAAGGTTTCATTATGTTGCCCAGGCTGGTCTTTAACTCCTGAGCTCATGCAATCCTCCTGCCTTGGCCTCCCAAAGTGCTGGGATGAGAGGCACAAGCCACTGTGTCCAGCCAACTTTACAATTTTAAAAAGGTTCTCTCACATCTATTAAATTATTTGACACTTAAAAACAATCAGGTAAATGCACAGGAAGCAAGACTGGAGGTTAAGTGGTTTCCTTAATGTCACACGGCAAGCAAATGACCCAGCTTGATCTTACAGGTAAGGCCACCTGACTCACAGTCCAGTGTTTTCCACTATAACTTGTTTTTGTTTAATGAAGCCTATCTGGGTAGTAAGATATTATCAAAGTCTGAAAAAAAATCAACATTGTGGATAAAGCACTAAATTCATTTATGTTGTGAAACAGAAAAAAAAAACCTAGGTAAACTTAGAACGGCTAACATTTACTAAGCACGTATCACGTGCAAGGCACTCTTCAACATGCTTTCTATAGGTTATCTCATTTTATTCCTACATTGACTATTTTAAAAATCCTTGTACCGGCTGGGCGCAGTGGCTCACACGTGTAATCCCAGCACTCTGGAAGGCTGAGGCAGGTGGATCACCTGAGGTCAGGAGTTCCAGACCATCCTAACATGGAGAAACCCCATCTCTACTACAAATACAAAATTAGCCAGGCGTGTTGGTATATACCTGTAATCCCAGCAGGCATGGCTGAGGCAGGAGAATTGCTTAAACCAGCAGGCATGGCTGAGGCAGAATTGCTTAAACCTGGGAGATAAAGGTTGCAGTGAGCCGAGATTGTGCCACTGCACTCCAGCCTGGGCAACAATCCATCTCAAAAAGAAAAAAAAATCCTTATTACCCTAATAAAAATAACTACATTTATTATGTACTTGCAATGTGCCAAGTATTTACGTATTTAAAAGGCATGATTTCATCTCATCTTCCTAATGAGACTGTGAGGTTGCACTACTGTTCTCATTTAAGATGAAGAAACTGATATTCACAGAAGTCATGGGATTTTTCCCAAAGACAGGCATCTAGCAAGTGACAACACCCAAATTCTGGTTGGTTCTTTCTTCTGCCCTCAATGTGCCTCTCTAAGATGAAGGAGAGGGCAGATTCAGGATTTATGTGAAGTAGGGGTGACTGGCTCAAGAGTGAGACAGAGACATACTGTGCCACTTGACTTACAAGGATCAGCTCCTGGAGTTGAAAGAATCTTTAGATACCATTTGGACTAACTAGCATATATTGTATCTGACAGATGACAAAAATTAGGGCCAAGAAAGGAGTGACTTGTCCAAGATCACACAAGCAGAAGACGCAGCCAAATGTATTAAATGCGTACTAAGAGCTGGGCACTGTGTTAAGTACGTTTATTTGAATGATCCCAATCAATCCTTGCATACGAGTTAGGCACTTCATATTACCCCCATTTTATCAGTGAAGAAGAGCTTAGGCTCCACAAGTGAACTCGCTCGTCCTGGGTCAAGAAGCAATCCAAGCCTATCTAACCCGATTCCTGTTCTTAGCTATGCCATATGATCTCTCGGAACTCAGTGGGACTCAGTGTTTGAGGAAGGTGTTTAATGAAGGAAATGAACCCCTTGCCTGAAAAATATCACATTCTCGAGCACGAAATCCCAGTCCCTCACCCCCGCCACCTGATCTAATTCACTCCTACTGCCAATATGGTTAATACAATTCTCAGAAGGAAAGCGGCTTGTCCGCAGTCACACAGCCTAGACTCTAAAACGCAGGCTCCGGGCCAGGGGCTCCCTTCACCGCCGCCACCGTCTCCGACCGACCCCCCACCCTATTGCGGGATCCACCTCGGGACTGGATTTGCCCTGGGGTAGGCTCTCAAGGGTCCGAGGGCTGCCATCCCGCGAATCCCGGCTGCGGTACAAGTTGGAGCCTGACTGGCAGAGAGTACCTGCAGGAGGAGACCCGAGGAGGCCAGCCGAGCCGCCTGGCCCAGCACCTCCTGGCTGCCCATAGCCTCGTCGCCAGGCTCCGACTCCGGAAAACGCCGCCGCCACTCTGCTTAGTCGCGATAAGATGGCGTCACGGAGCGGCTCGCTCTCTGATTGGTGGTATTGAGACGGGGGCGGGGCAGAGACATTCTGGCCCTTTAAGTGGGCCGGGCTCGGGCCGTCTGTTAGGGTGCCTGGCTTTTCCTATTTCTGTAGGTTGTGTGCTGTCTGTCCGTCTCTTCCCCATATCCCCATATAAACTAAATACTGTGGCGAGTACTAAGAGATACTGTTAAAGTAGCCAAAGTTCCTTCTCTGAGGCTTTCAGCCACCAACCAAGAAGCCCTAACTTCCCTGGCCTCATCTGCCAAAAGGCGAACAAACTTCTCACTGGCCTGTTAAAAAGATTCTTACCATTGACCTTTGCTTACAAAATCACAGCCACAGCCCCGGTGAATAAGCCTGGACAGGAATTTTCCTCGTTTAACAGAGAAGGAACTGAGAACCAGAAGTTAAATCCAGCACTATCACGTGTATGGTTTTGTGAAATCCTGAAGCTCTGAGAATTGGTCCCTGCTGTTAGAGATGAGTGAAGTCTCGGAGATGGGAAGTGACTTGTTCGAATCTATGCAACTTGTTTCCTGACTGAGTGGATGCCAGGCTCCTGATCCTAAACTTATCACTCTTGCCTGTGTGCTAGAAATTGTGAGGGCAGAGTGAAAGGAGTACTGGAAGTGCTTTGTAAAATGTAAAGCACCCAACATACACAATCAGCTGCTGTTCTGTCAGTGTTCTTATTATGTACCACGCAGGCTGTAGGAAACCCAGTCTTTCCCATCACTTTTACGCCTGACATGATTTGGCCGCTGCCTGTCTTCTACTGCTTTTCACACGATCCCTGCCCTTCCCTATACTCTCTCGGCTATAGCCATTCTGAGCCCTTAACAGTCCTCAAACAGGCGGCGACTCACTGGCCTTTGCTCCTCCACCCTCTCTGTCCAAAGTATCTTCTTCCCTGACAGCACCCCTTGCCCTCCCAGACCACACTATCCTGACTTTCCTGGCCAACCACAGCTGGTACCTGCTGTGGGCTAAACGTTTGGGTCCCCTCAAAATTCATATGTTGAAGCTTAATCCATCCCCAGTATGATAGTATTAGGAGGTGGGGCCTTTGAAAAGTAATTAGGTCATGAAGGTGGAGCCCTCATAATGGGATTAGTGTCCTTATAAAAAGAGATGTCAGAAAAATGATCTCTGTGTCTACCACTTGAGGATACAGCAAGCAGGGAGCTGTCTGCAACTAGGAAGAAGGCTTTGTAAATTGTCAAGGGCTTGACATACGCTTAACGAACACCAAATTGGCTAGCACCTTGATCTTGGGCTTCCAGCTTCCAGAACTGTGAGAGAGAAATTTCTATTTTTTAACTTGCCCAGTCTATGGTATTTTGTTAAAACAGCTCAAGCAAATTAAGACAGCACCCCTAAAGTACTTTGTACCCCTTTTTAGCTCCTAGTGCAACCTGCATTATAGCAGAAAGACTAGAATATGTGTCTCTATATAATCAGCCCATGAGCTCCAAGAGGGCAGGACTGCAGCCTGCCTGGTTTTGCCTCCTGAAGTAGTGGTACAGAACATTCCTAGGGCTCCCATCAATGCCTCCTGACACATGACTGCTGCTATTGCTACTGCAAGCAGACTGTGGAACTCAAAGCCTCAAGACAGAGCTCATTTTGCCCATTTTGCCAGGTGAAATGAACTCTTAGTGTGGAAGCCCAGAATGTGAGCTCTTATTTTTTTTGAGACAGGGTCTCACTCTGTCACCCAGGCTAGAGTGCAGTGGTATGGTCTTGGCTCACTGCAACTTCTACCTCAAGGCTCCTGTACTGAGGCACAGTGATCCTCCCACCTCAGCCTGCTGATTAGCTGGGACTACAGGTGCACACCACCACAACTGGCTAATTTTTTGTGATTTTTGTAGAAATGGGTTTTCCCCATGTTGCCCAAGTTGGTCTCCAACTCCTGGACTCAAGTGACCTGCCCACCTCAGCCTCTCAAAGTGCTAGAATTACAGGCATGAACCACCATGCCTGGCCCAAGAACGTGAGCTTTTGACTGTCAGAGAGAACTGGCCTTGAATCCTCATTCTGGCACTCAGTGACAGGGTGATCTCAGTATGCTCAGCTGTTAAATAGGGATATTACATGTCCTGTAAAAGAAAAGTCATAAGGATTATATCAGACAAGTCTGGCCCTCAAGAAGCTTAAATTCTAGTGAAAGGGAAACTGACAAAAACTCTAATAAACAAATAAAATTTCACATAGGGCTAAGTGCTGTGAAAGAATGAAACCAGATAAGATCATAGAGGCTTTGGAAGAGAGAGAAGGGTGCTGTTTTAGAAGGAGTGAGTTGGGCAGCCACCTGGGGAGGAGTGTACTTGGAGAATAGAGAAAGTGCTGGAGGGCCCAGGTATTTGGCATAATGACTGTGATGCTAAAGACCTTGACCCGGGCAACCTTCCCATCCCCAGGACTGTGGGCCAGAAGGTGAGGTGGGCTCCCACTTCCTTTATTCCCAGCCCGTCTCCTCCTCTACAGCCCATTCCCAGAGAGAACTAGCCACGAGTTCACCATGTGCTCACACTCCCAATCTTGGCATCCAGATAGGCTGGTTTGGGAGGGAAGAAATGATGATTTTTCTAGAGGCAAGGAAGCCAAAGGGGAAATGCTCCAAGCTAAGTCTAAAGGGCAAAACATTCTAGGACCCCAAGATAAGGACTCTTTAGGGCTCCGGGTGAGGAATCAGGGGGCTTTTTCTCTTATTCTGGAAGTTAACTCTTGGCAAGGAGGGACTGAGCAGAGCCCAGGGCCATGCTGGTTTCTGGGGTGGGTGGGGAAAAAGAAACTGTGAGGAGATCCACAAACACTGACCAGTGACTTCGTGTCAGGCACCTGTCTGAGCACTGTACATGCGTGTACTCTGTCCTCACAATAACGTATGAGAGAGGAACTACAGATGAGGAAACTGAGGCACAGGGATGTTTACTAACTCATCCAAGGCCATTCAGTAAAGGGGTGGTCAAGGAGTTATTTGGACTCAGGTCCCTACTGATTCCAAATGCTTGGATAGAAATGTTCTTGCCCTCAAAAAACCTTCTGATTGTAAAGGAGACCTAGGAGTCCCTATATGTAAGCCATGGAGAACATGTGTGGCATTGAGAGAGCGGAGTCTGGGAGGGCCGCAGTGGTTGAGCTGTGGTAGGCTTGGAGGCGCCCCCTCCTCCCCAGTGAGGCTCTCCAGAAGTCTTGACCCTGTTAGAAGTACTGGCCTGCACACTTCACTGGGCGTAGCACACTCCACGGTCTTGCCCATGGAGGACTCAGCTCAGGGCTGGCAAGCAATGGCCCACTGGATGTTGCCTTTTGTATGGCCTACAAGCAAAGAATAGATTTTACATTTATAAATGGTTGGAAAAAAATTAAAAGAATATTTTCATGACACATGAAAATGGCATAAAATTCAAATTTCAGTGTCCACAGGTATGATGGCTCATGCCTGTAAAACCAGCACTTTGGGAGACCAAGGTGAGTGGATCACCTGAGGTTAGGAGCTTGAGACCAGCCTGGCAACATGGTGAAACCCTGTCTCTACAAAATAAATAAATAAATAAATAAATTATCCAGGCTTGGTGGTACATGCCTGTAGACCCAGCTACTGAGGAGGCTGAGGTGGGAGGATCATTTGAGTTTGGAGACATAAAGACTGCAGTGAGCTATGATCATGCCACTGCACCCCAGCCTGCGCAACAGGGTAAGACCTTTGTCTCAAACAAATTTTTTTTCAGTGTCCACAAGTACAGTTTTATTGGAACATAGGCACACCTACCCATTTGTTTACATATTATCAATAGCTACTTGCTTTCTTCAGCAGCAGAATAAGTTGATTCACAAAGCTGAAAGGATTTGTTAGCTGGCCCTTTACAGAAAAATTTTGCCAATTCCTGGTGATCACCATTGAGCACCTGGCATATAGTAAACATTCAATATTGAATGAATGAATGCATTTGTAAGTGCATTAGAATTAATGAATAATGAAGGACTAGGAAAGGAAGAAAGACAAGTACATAGGGTTCTTTCCTGGGGGTCACCTAGTTTGGAGAGCAAGTGGCTCCTTGAGAATACCAGGTTGTAATTGGTGGTCATCGAAGGAGCTGTTTTCCCCAGCCTTCCTCCCTGCCTCCTGCATCTGTGCCATGTAGCCTCCCTGCCAGGGAAATCTGACCCAAGCCACCCATTTTATCACAAAGCTGGAGGGAAGTGCCAGAGCTGGTGCCAAGCCAATTAGGCTCCCAGGGCAGAGGGGCAGGAAGGGAGGCTGCCAGTGTCGCCCAGGACACAAGGTGGAAGCTCTGGCCAGCTGGGCCATGGATCTCAGCTGGGTGGAGGCAGGAGGGCTGGGCATGGTGCCACACACCAGCCACTAGGTGGCAGATGGTCCTGGGTGAGGGCGCTGCCGGGCTAAGGCTTCTGCTTCCCAGAGCCCCCCCACCCCATCCCCAATCAGGGACCCTTCCAGAAGCAGGACCTCAAGGCTCTGCCTCTCTCAAAAGTCCCAGGGCATGAGAATGCAGGTGTGATACTAGTCGTCCACATCTGTCCACGTAAGCACTGTGCTGGACACTTCACTTTCATTGTTTCATTTCCTTTCATTCCCATAGCAGCCCTACAATGTAGGAACCATTATTATCCCCATTTTACAGGCCAAGAAACTGAGGCTTAGCAAAGTTAAGGGACAGGCCTAAGTACTAGTGAATGGTAGTGCCAAAATTTGCACTGGGCAGCATGGTTTTCAGTCCCTTAACCAGACCTAACCCAGAGTGTTTATAGTTTATGCTGATTCCTGGGCTCCACCTCTGCAAAGCTCTGGGGCGGCTTCTTCTTCTTCTTCTTTCTTTCTTCTTCTTCCTCTTCCCCTTCCCCTTCCCCTTCTCCTTCCCCTTCCCCTTCTCCTTCTTCTTCCTCTTCCTCTTCTTCTCTTTCTCCTTCTCCTTCTCCTTCTCCTTCTTCTATTTTTGAGACAGAGTTTTGCTCTGTTGCCCAGG